TGAAAATAAATTATTTTAAGATTTTACTGTGCAAGAGAAAACAGATACACGATTTAATGATAATAACACAATTACAAACTTAATAATAATTATTATGATAATCTTATCGTTTGCAAAAAGAATAATAAGAATCAGTTTATATTTGCTTGACGAATTTAGTCTTTGCCTAGACTTTTGATTATGAAGATGCACAAAAATACTTTATTAATAGTACATTGCTGTCGAGGCCGGAAATAAAGCAATTTACGGCTGTGCTGTATTGAACTGACGAAGCGAAGCAGACGACTTTCCCAGTTTCCAAGTGATTGTGTATATTTCAGATTGGAAAAATAATTTGAAAAAAAAAATATTACAATACTAAATATTATGTATATACAGCAACGATATTTTTGCCTACATGATACAGGAAGATTACAGACAAATTTAAGTGAATGTATTGAAACGACTTATACGTATACTTTACATGTCAACTTAGGCCCTAATTGACTTTGGCTAAATATTTGAATTTTATGCAACTTTTTTTTAATGCAACAGAATGGCAAACAAGCTGACGGCCCACCTGATGAAAAGTGGTAACCGTCGCCTATATATAAGCACTACCATTGACATAACAGAGTATACTGTTTTGTCCATGATACCCCACATACATTGCCATTCCTGAGGGCTCAGGTGTTATTCCTCTGTACCCTGTAAATTCTCTACCATATCTCACCCTTCAAACTGAAACACAGCCATGCTGCTTCACGGTAGAAACAGGAATAGGGCAGAAGTAAGCCACAGCGTGTCTTGTACAATTATATTACCTTGAAGACGAAAAAGAGTTGCAACATTTTCTTTGCTTTCCGTATATTATTTCTATTTTTTTACCAAAGTACTGTGGGAGATTTACTAAAGTTTGTTACGCTATTATAGTCTGTTTCAATAGTTATTTAATTTAATTAAAATTTATTAAATGATTTAAATTTAAATTTAATTTGTTTGTTTAAATAAACATTTATAGTTAATAATATGTAAATAAACGAAAATTTTAACTATGACAGTCGGCTTATGTCCAATAAACAGTAGGACATTTTTTTTTTTTTTTATTTAAAATAACTTTATTGACTAAAATAAAATAAGTTACAAAAGGCGGACTTAATGTTAGTAGAATTCTTTACATGTTAATCTTTAGGATGAAATCACAAATAAAAATCGTTTTTATTGTTACCATTTGTTACTAAATTAATTTAGAAAAAGTTTTTTTGTGACAATTACATAAAAATTTGGACACCTTTTTATTAAAGTCTATTAAAATAAATTAAATTCTTTTTCTAGTCTAGTCAAAGTGAAGCGGTATCTCAAATAGTAAGAGTTACTGGCTCCATCACGGCGTGGGTTCAAATCCCATCCGTTTCGATATATTTCAATTACGTAGTAGAGTAATAGTAAATGTAGCTAATAGTAGTTATTATTATTATTGGAATCTACTTATATGTATATTTCTCAGTTATAATACTTATCGCATTTATTTATATCTATATATATGGGAAAGATACATGGCAGCCTATGGTATAAACGTATTACCCCCACACTGCCCTATGGGACGTGACACATTTCATGCTACTTACTTTGCATTTTCGTAACTCCAGATGTCACAAATGCACAAACATATATGTTCTTTATTGTACTTGTAAATTATATATATATATATATATATATATATATATATATATATATATATATATATATATATATATATATATATAATACGGGCTAATCTAACTACGTATATATATATATATTTTATTGTATATATATATATATATATATATATATATATAATAAAATAAAATTGTATTTCAACTATACAATGGCTGTACCTGAAAGATGCTTAAGATAAAATATATAACGGGTCTTAATAAAAGCAATAGAAGCCGAAACAATATTTTTTTAGAAATTTTATCTGTCTATCTCACTCTATGTTTGTTCCGGCATAACGCAAAACATACTGCATCAAGTTGAATGCAGTATTTAAAGTTGTGTTTTTGTGATCTAAACAGCAGAATGCAGTAATAGGTAAAACATATATGTGTTTGTAATATAAAATATTCAGTTTAAAGAACGTACACAAGACATTTTATAAAAGACTGACTCAGAACAAATTTAAAAACAATACATGTTTCAAAAAAAACGTCAGTATCAATAGACAATATTAAAACTTAAACGTCCTGAAGATCTAACTTAAAATCTGACATATGTTGATACGGCATCTAAAAGTGGTTTATTTCATTAGTAAATATAAATACTAATAGCACATCTACTTCAATTACTTTTCCATCAATCAATATACCATTATTGACACCTGACTATAGATTTAGGACTTATAATAACCGATCGTTATTCTTCTTGATTGGTTATAGACGACTATTATCTGTGGCTTCCGTCTTGTATAACTTCGTCCATAGATTATTCTGAACACGAATTGAATTAATTTTAGTATGCTCGATCAACTTTTGACGTTTCACGCAAAGTTTTCTCCCAATTTGAATTTTACAATTATATTTAATTGCATAACGTCAATTTATTCTTCAATTGTTTTCAAAAATTTTTTATCAAAATTTTAATAATTATTATACTAAAAAATTTTTTATACCTTCGTGGAGTTTAAACAACACATTGTAAATTATACTAATTCAAATATCTAAACTATAATGTAGTTATAAAATATAATAAAAAAAAATTACATTTTCTTGAGTTCTTCAATCAACTAAGGTCCTACTGATGCATATGAACCCCTCCTCATAGAAAAAAAAAATAGGGAGAAAAAAGAAAACTAATTAAATAGTTATACCACTATTATAACTTGTACCCTAGCTAGCTATATCTATGCAACTTGATATAGAAATTTAAAAAATGGTACACTACATAAATAGGTGTAGTTCATGTTACTCACTGGTAGTATAGTTGTCTATAGGTAAAATATATTTTAAAAATAATTGTAATTCTTTTTTAATTTATTCAATACAAACAATAATTAAAAAGTGTATCGTCCAAAAAAAAACAAATTTAATTATGACCAGTTACTTTGATCTAAGAACTAAACTATTGAACCGATTAAGTATATCTTATCAGATAAAAAAAAAATTTTCGAAATCGGTTTAAAACTGGCAGTTCTGGGGTGACAAATATAAAAAAAAAATACAAATGAATACCTTCTTCTTTTTGGAGTCGATTAAAAAACTTTTCCTCTTTATACTCGTAACATTATTATAGATATAACCGTCTATGGTAAACATTTAATATTTCTAATGACGAGATAACTTCCTCAAATTCTTTTATGCCCGGTTATTCGTTAATTAAGACAGTATTAATTGCTCTTTCTACTTCCAATCTGTTAGAAGTGACAATTTTATTAACCTCTCGATAAAATTATATTATTATAAAAATGTATTACGTTCTTACTCTAAAGACAACCAATGATCTGACCATTCGTAAGTTTTTAAAACTAAAATTAACATATTAAGGTGTGTAAACTGTTTTCTTTCTACACAATAATATTTTTAAATTAATCAATTTACACACTCGATTGCCGCCACAACTTTTAACTTAGCTTACTTTCGACGAAAAAAAAAAAGCAATTCCTTTTTCAATAATACGACATTAACACTGTCTATCAAATATTTTGTCGGAGGAAAACAGCCAGTGTGGAGTATAATAAAAATAAAATAACAAAAATGGCGGCGGCAGAAATTTGGAGGCTGTTCGCTACGCAAGAAACTTCGGGTAACGACTATAAATGTGACTAGTCTATTATCATGAGAGTGTTTTTTTATTTGTTCCTTTTATTTATTACTCATCGATACCGACTCGAGGGAAGTTTATTAAAGTTTTCGAACAGCCTTCAGTGTTTGAAACCGCCATTTTGGTAAATCGTACCGCTTCTCGTCCGCATTGCTTTGGGGTGTTTTGTATTGTTGCAACTGTTCGAAAACTTTGCACTATTATTATTATTTTATGTTGTTTCATTTTTGTCGTTACTGATATCATTTATTTTAGTTTAACCCTTGACCAAGCAATTATGTTTAAAAAAAAACTTGTTCTATTTTAGTACCTAAATGTCGACAGTGTTACGTACTCGGTGAAGGGTTAACAAATTTTTCTCGATTTTTATTTAGTAGTTGCGTCCGCTATTTTTTATAAGTTAATTCTTTATTTCTTCATTTTTATTTGCATATCACACATTTTATTATACGAAATAAATAGTAAGACTGTTCATATACATATTTTCTATATACTAAAACATTATGAACAGTGTAATACCGTTTGGAACAAAATAATTACTGCAAGATATTTATTTATATACTTGGTATAATTTTAACATAAAACTGTTATATTAATAAAAGGTAAATCTTTTTTTTATATTATATACAACTGTGTATTGTATTGCCATAGTTGATTCTTAAAAAAAATTATAAAAAAATATAAGTTAATAAAACAATTATGATAATTAAAAATGAAAATAAATTAATATCATATTTATTATTACATAGCTACTGTTCGTATATATATTATTTTATGCACAAATTCATTTACTGACATAGATTGGCAATGCAATAATGAAAATAAAACAATAAATAAAAAATAATTGGATACTACACGCGTCTTGTGTATACATTTGTAAGTTTATTCCTTTGTCTGATTTATATTTAGGTATACCTCATAATAAAAAAAAAACAGACCATTATACGTCAATAAACATGTAGTACAGGGTCTCACTTATCTAACTATATACCAGTATCCACGTTTAGACGCAAGAAAGCGTAGTACAAACTTGCCAACCACGCAAAAAGGCCTGACGGTGGGTCGCGGTAATGCGCAGTTGGCAAACTTGTACTATATGAAAACCTCGGAGCCTTTACACAGAATAGTGCGATACATACGTCAAGTGCCTTACATATCCAATTATTCTATATACTCTATATTCTATCTGTGGTGTAAAATATATAATGAATTCTCGACAGGTACGTATTCACGATAGTCAGCTATTTGATCGGGGTGTTCATTTTCGCCACTATAGTGGGCCAGGTCGGCAATGTGATCACAAACAGAAACGCAAATCGGCTCGAGTTCGAGAGACTCCTCGACGGAGCCAAGACTTATATGCGCCACCACAAGGTAAGAAGTGATACAAAAAATATCATTGGACATAAATTATACAATGCCATCTAACGCCAAACTAAGTAAAGATTGTACTGTCTTGATTGTTATATTCAGTGGACGCAGGTGGCTCAGGACTGTTCCTTATAGCAGTCTATGGAGGAAGCCTATTTCAGTAGTGGACAGATAATGGCTGAGATGATAAAATACTAAAGACTTATGTTTTTTTATAAATATATCCAATTAATATAATAAATGCGAAAATTTGTAACAATGGATAAAATAATGATTGGATGTTTGTTACTCTTTCATACAAAAACTACTAAACAGATTTGAATGAAATTTGGTATATGGATAGGTGTCTATCTCTATAGGCTATCTTAGTAGATAGGGTGCTATATATATTTAATGATTTACGCGGGGAAAGTCGCGGGATATTCTACATAGAAAATATCTTGATCTTTTGTATCAAACAAAGACATATACCTACCTACTCATATATACAAATGTTTGTACTGTATATCTATGAATCTTTGGATAAAACTTGTATATATTTATAACAACAAAAAGTTCCAGAAACGCAACACTTTTTGCTCCTTATTTCCTCGAATTAACGTCTAAAACATATCCGTAGAGGTAATAACGCTTTCAATTCAGGTGCCTGGCGGTATGAAGCGACGTGTTCTCCGCTGGTATGATTATTCCTGGTCGCGCGGTCGGATACAGGGCGGCGGTGACATCAACACGGCCCTCGGCCTCCTGCCCGATAAACTGAAGACGGAGCTCGCACTGCACGTCAATTTGAGTGTACTTAAAAAAGTAAGTACGGCACTTGATTCGCAACATTGTGCCACAGTGTGCAAGTTACAAAGTCAAACGCTTGACGCACCGTGCAGCGAAACGCGGTGATGCACGTTAACTTTATAATCAAAGATATATAATTAAAGATTATATCCTAACAAAAAGACTTCAGTTGTGACAAAGTCACTTATTTGATCTACCAACTAAACTACTGAGCTTCGACTACTTGAAAACTGTATAAAACGCATGGAGTTTTCATACGGCAGTTCGACGTACGTGTATCAATCAAGAGCCTAACACTCAAAATAATTACCTCATAACTCCATCAATTATAAACTGATTTGGAAAATTCTTTTTTATCTGAAAGGATATACTAATAGAATAGTCCCATACAAATTTAATCAAAATCTGTTTAATAGTTTAGTTTTTAAGTCAAAATAAGTTCTTCAAAAAAAGGGAATAGAGGGTCGGCAACACGCGCGTAATAAATACCCCTGGTATTGCAAGCATTCATAGGCTATAGTTACCGCTTACTATCAGCTAGGTCGTATGCTTGTTTGCCACCTCAGTGGTATAAAAAAATAAGTTGTTTTTCCACAATTGAAGTTGGTTTTTTTGTGGAATACAATTTAATTATTTTCTTCAATTGGGAATGATAAATAAGCTAACTGCCCATTTATGAAATGAAAGTGTTATCCGTCGCTCATAATCATGAATAGCACTATGAACATAATACGAATACACTATGATATCCATGGTATCCCATATGCATTACCTCGCCTAAACCTCTAACCATAATTATACTTTACTTTCTAGGTAACCATATTCCAAGAATGCCAACCAGAGTTCCTACACGACCTAGTTCTGAAAATGAAGGCCTATATTTTTACTCCTGGAGATTCAATATGTAGGAAAGGTTGGTATTACTGTTTATATACTTATGAATAATAACATATACTTATAATTAGTAGAATATCGTACTATTATTATAAAATTGTAATTAGACGATGTCTGTACATGAGAAATATTTAAGAAAAATTTATGTGAAGGGCATTGATGAGAGCACTAGAATCCGAGATACTAATCATTTTGAGAAATTTATCTGTCTGTCTAGAATTTGTTCGAGCATAAACTATTAGACCAAATTACATACGGTTTTTACAATTTTAGTCCTGAATGTGTAACTTAAAAACTGGTATATGTTTTATCTCAATATGCCATCTCGAAGTAGACAGTCTATTTCATTTTTTTTTCCTATTTCTAAAATCCACGCATTTGTTAGTTTGTAAAGAAAAAACTAGCAATGATTATAATAAAATCTGATATTGTTTCGTGACTTAGTTGGCACGTAAAACCATTGTCCGCTGAACCATGCTTTCTTATGTGACAAAGATGATCTAACTAATTTTGATAGTAGAGAACACCACTCTTATACGAATGGTAGCATTCTTCTTATAGTGCCTATCCAACTATCAGCTCATTGAAACTGCCCTTGTCTCTTGCGATTTTTTATACAATTTAGAACGTGCAAACAAGCTTACGGCCCACTTGATGGAAAGTAGTAATCGTCTATAGACATGAACAGTATCATGGACAAAACAGAGTATTATCTGTCGCCCATGATCCCCTTTATATGTTGCCATTCCTGAAGACTAAGATATTATTCCTCTGTTGCCTGTAATTTCATTGGCATATCGCATCCTTCAAACCGAAACATAGCCATGTAAAAACAACTGCTTTACGGCAGAAACATGAATGAGACAGAGGTACAAAAACAGACGATTTTTGTATAAAGTCCACCTCGTAATGGTGGAATATTTCGGCTGTACGCGCAATTCCTGTCCTCTACTGGATGTTATGAAGCTAAGAAGTTTGTGCGGCTAACTCGTCTCTTGCCAGCAACTTTTCCCATCATGATGACGTGTAAAAGTTGATATCTGTCGTCGTCGTTCATGTCGAATAATAGTAGTAATGTTAAATTATAAGCGAAATACTGTAATGATCACTAAAATGTATCTATTTACACAGGCGAAGTAGCAAGAGAAATGTTTATCATAGCCGATGGTATACTAGAAGTAATATCTGAGACAGGCAGGGTACTCACCACAATGAAAGCTGGAGACTTCTTTGGCGAGATCGGAATATTGAACTTGGATGGACTCAATAAGTAAGAAATTAAACCACTTTATTTTTAATGTTTGATAAAGTTTCTTAATTCGTCTGTAATTTTTGTACGTATTAAGTAATCATCATCGTCATTATCTCATCCTTTAACTGTTCACAGGTGAACATAGGCCTCCCCTATAAGTGGGTTTTTGCCAGTAGTTACCACGCTTGGTAAGCGGATTGACAACCGCAGTTAGGCTTTGGTGATGTTCTAAAATGTACGCTGCTGTCCATTAATCGACCATTATCTTCCCCTTAGTCGCCTCTTAGGGAAAGGAAAGGATTTTATACTGGGACTACATGGCAATATTATACAATTAATTGATTTTTTCAAAATTATTTTTGATGATAGGGTCCCGTCCTATGTTCATCTAATAAATTTTGTCATTATTCAACTTGCTTTTTTTGAGATCCAATGCTCAAATTATATTACCTAATAACCTGTTATTAAATCACGACGCAAGAATGCTTTATATAAAACAATATTTATCAGCTTTTCAATTTTTTTTTACCTCAACAAAATGCATGCACAGGTGATCACAATATTATATTATATAAATACAAACAATAATTGTACATAATTGCAAGATAGATTGATGTATGGATGGATGGCTCTATCACGCAAAAACTATTGACCGGTTTTTAATGAAATTTGCTACACGGGTAGGTTATATCCCAAGATAAAATATAAAATACTTTATATATTTACCCATTGATTCACATAGATAAAGCAGCAGGATACAGCTAGTACATAAATAAACCGGAATTATGGTGGTAGGCTCTTGTGAAATATAAATAATTCGAGTCTTACGTTCAGCATAATAGCAACAATCAATCATGTCTCTGACTACCCTATCAGGGATTACAATTGTGGACATTTTTTTTAATAAATAATTTATCACAATCCCCAGACGAACAGCAGACGTACGCTCTGTTGGTTACTCGGAATTGTTCTCGCTATCCCGAGAAGATGTGCTAGCAGCTATGAAGGACTATCCAGAAGCTCAAGAGATACTCCAAACTCTTGGCAGGAAGCGGTTGCAGGAGGCTAAGAGTATGTCAAGGCAAAAAGTAAAGGGTAGCAAAGGTAATTATTAATACTTCTGACTTATAATGCGCTTATAAATTTCTTAGCGCTTATAAATTCACCTCGGATAGTCGTTGTTACATTTTGAGAACGTTAACCTAATTTCGAATGATTTTAATTACATAAACTTACTGTACATTTATTGATGATTTATTACTTACTGTATTAAAAATAGTGTGTCATGATTTTTAGGAGAAGTACTAAGTCCAGATAAATTGGGCGGCGAAGACAGTACGTCTAAAAGGATAGTTCACAAACTGCGAAGCGATGTAAAGGTATTTTATTAGCTTATTCATAAAAGTTGCATTGTCAGAAACGAAATCTCATAATCATTTAATACCATAAAATATTTACATAACAATCAACACCTCTCATGCGTTTATATATCTCAAAAATTAATAAATTAGAACCTGTATTATTCTTAATCGAAAAAGAGATTTCATTATAAATATTTTTAAAACTTATGCTTTATAAAAATAAAAGTGCTTTAAAAAAAAACTTCTAAATACTTAAGTTCACAATATTTTACCATTTCATATATCTAGGGTATCCGAAACGCAATCCGAAGTAGATCTCGTGCCGGTCGTCGTTCCGGGGAGTCATTAGAACTACAAGCTTTGGCTGGAGCTGAAAGAGCGACAGCCGATGGCAAAGTGCTTAGGCGTATGCCTAGAGTCGAGAGTGATGACTCGCAACCACACAACCACGAGGTTTGTAACTAATTAATAACTTCAGTTATAACATTTATCATACAAGAATATTACTTCAAATATGATGTACAAAATTTTACAGGATTTGAATGGTGAAACTACATCAGGAAGTAAAGACGGTGAAAAATGTATATCACCGATAGGTGCTGGTTTACCTTTGCTAACTCGTTTAAAACTGCTAAAAGAGAAACAGGTAAATTACAGATTTTAATGCATTTCATTTTAATACTTTCTAACATTAATTATCTGTGTTGAGTACATTAATCAATGCATTTTATTATTAAGCTTACTTATATCACTGTATTATCTATATTATTATGCATAGTTAAACAAATTTTACTATAATCATAATAATATAACTGTTTATTAATTACTTCTACAGGATCGTGAAGAAAAAGTAGCAAAACAAAGACTATCAGCATCTTCTGTTGTATCACCACCGCATTGTCAACCGACACCGTCTACAAGTTCAGCTCCAGATGGAGAACCCGAGGTAATTGGGGCGGGACTTCCGCTACTTCAAAGATTACTTTTGCTCAAAGCCAAAGAAGAGAGAGAAAAGAATCAACTCACACCAACAAACAGTAACCAGCCATCGAGTTCAGATACTATCAGTCCAAGTTCCATAAAAAGTCCCCTAAGTCCCACTATAAAAACCCTGAGTCCTATACGAAAAGGATCAGAATCTAGTTCACCAGGAAAACTACAAAGTCCCACAACAAAAACATCCAGAAAAAATTCTTCTGGTTCAAGTGATGGTGCTTCTCGTCCTAAAGTTAGTTTTAAAGATAAGATATTACAAGTTCAAAGTGACGGTACAGCAGTATGTCAGCCACTCAATAAAGATGTCAGTGAAAAGCCTGCTGCAGTAGTCGAACCTACACCCAAGCCAGAAAGCAACTTAATATCTATACCACACTCCATCGTTAGTAAAATCAAATCACCAGCCAAATCGGTAGGTTCATCATTTCGAGATAAACTTAAGTTATTACAAAGTGGTAGTGGACAAAAAGATTCCGAAAACTCATCTTTAGACAAGAGCAAACCACCATCTTTAGATAAAACTGCTGCTGAAATAACACCAATACAAACGACAGATTGTAAAGAAGATTTTAAAACAAAGAAACCTTGGACAAAACTTAAAAAAGCCGCGATATTAGGAGAATCAAAAAGCCAAAGTAAATCTAGTATAGATGAAAAGAAAGACGATAGTGTAACTAAGGAAACAAAAGAGGATTGTAAAGCAGAGATTGTAAATATAAATGTACCTATAGTAACTACAGCGGAACTTGTTAAAATAGACAATAATAATCTCGAAGTTGATAGTGATAATATTAAGCAAGATAAGCCTAAGATTTGCTTAACAGGCCCTTTGGAACCCGTCCAAGAAAAATCTTTAGATTTATTAACGTTATCTCCAAAGAAAATAAAAAACGTAGATCCTAAGCCATCAAGCACTGGAATGCTATTACCCAAAGTCAAAAAATATAAATCTATTGATGATCTCTCACCAGAGTATGGAGGACTACCGTTTGTAAAAAAATTGAAGATTTTAAATGAAAGACAAAAATTAGCTGAACTAGAGAAAGTTGTAAAAATAAGAAGTTCCAGTTTAGATTGCACAAGTTCGTCTGAAGATTTATTATCCGATACACTCACTAGAAGCCATTCTGAAGGAAGCACAATGGATAAAAGAAAATATAAAAGGAAATCAATAGATTCTGTTGGAAGTCATGGATCCAACGAAACACTCGAACGAAGAACACTGAAATCTATTTTAAAAAAGCTTTCAGAAGATGTTACTCCCTCAGAAAGTCCTGAACGAAACAATGAAATAAAAAAATTAATTCGGGCACCTACTTTAGAAGGATATGCTGCGAGGCATTCCAAATTTGCCAAAAGTGTGACATTTCATCGTCACACATTACCATCACCACCTGGCAGTGCTCCAGCAGATTCGAGAAATGAAGTTTTTCAATTGCCAGAGTATAAAAAAGACTGTGTACCACAAATATCATCGCCTACCCAAGATACTGAAAATGATGCTATGTGCCCTCGTAATCAAATAGTGAGACCTACCAGTGACAGCATAAGTCAAGACTATAACCTAAACATAAGAGCTGAATATGATTTACAGCCAAATGTAGATCCAATATATGACTTTAAGTCCTTAAGACCTGAAGAAATAAAAGTGCCTTCGGAGAAACCCAAATTAACATTAATATCAGCTGTCGCCAATCAACGGAAGTTATTAAGAGGTACTGTTTTACTATTTATTTTAAAAATGATATATCAAATACTTAAAAATTGTTATTCAAATTATGTCAAACATATTTCTTCATATCATATTTTTATAGGTTCACTTGAAGAACAGGAATATTTCGGCGAGGTACTATTAGGTATTAAACAAGTTATACAAGGTCATTTACATGACGTTCAAGGAAAATTTCAAGAGAGGTAAAAACACAATATTAGTATAATAAAAAAAATAAAAAGCATACCCTATTACTCCTTAATTAATTAATTTTAGGTTCTGTAGCTTAGAAAATGAAGTGCGAAAACGTGATGAAATTATAAGTCAACTTCAAAAACGTATTCAAGAATTAGAAAAGTTGGGTCTATCGAGTGCCTCAACTACGCAATCAACTGAATCTGAAGAGGCACGTTCATCTCCCCAGAGTGAAAATATTGCAAATCAACCGCTTACTAAAAATGGTAGTTCGGGAAGCGAAGATATATCCGGAGCAGAAGAGGGATTTATGGTATTGTATTTTTTCCATAAATAAAACATAAATCTTTAGAATAATAGTTAAACCTAAAATTAACGGTAAACTAACCTACTACAGTTCCAGAATTATTAATGTACTATACTCAATTATCATGATTAGTTTAAGAAAGAAAATGTTCAACACGCTAAAGTTGTTTCTATTCCAATCTTTCCTATTTTAAAAATGACATTTTAATACGCTCTACTCATTCACAGAGAGGTGACTCACTAGACACTGTATTTGCAACATCGCCACCAACAGCTAGTGCTGATGAAGAGGACAAAGAAAAATCAAATGAAAAAACCACTTTCGTTAGAAAAACTTTATCCACAGAGGAACTCACAGAAGAAAGGCTCACCGAGATGACTGAAATAGAATTAGGGAAATTATCATATTCAGAATTACAGAGTTTGGCAGAATCCTTATCTAGTAAAGTTGATAAAACCTCATCAAGTAAAGAGAAATGGACGTTAAGCAAATCAAAAAGATTGGACTTGAATTTAGATGGTAAAGCTGGGACATATTCGAGAAAACGTGCAGCAAAGTTGAGGCAAAGAAAATCATGGGAAGATCAAAGTGATCAAGAGAGTGTGGAAATGCATGATTTAACACGGTAAGTAAATAATAAATAATAGTATAATTTATTCCAAAAGCCTAACTCAATAAATACTTAAGGTTTTTTTATAATTTTTCATTGATACATCAGATTTGTCAATATGTTTCAATTTGCAATTGTAGCATATTTTTATTAAAGAACACATTGAAATTTTTAAATGGTTAAAAATATTAATATGCTCTCACTTACATATTGTACTAATAATAAAGATAGCATGTTTTATAAAGAATTAAATACGTCTTACCAGACCAATGTCTCCACAAATGACATCAGAAGACAGATCGTTGCTTAGTCCGGAACAGTCCAGTCTACGTACCAGCCGGCGAAGTATTCATCCCTTCCACTTCTTCGGCACCCACCTTGACACCACCAAATCGAAAATCAAGAAAACCTTATCAGTAGATACCGGGATGCACCATACTGGAAGAAATGAAAGGAGTAAGTAATGAGGAAATCTCTTTTCTTAGAATTAGGTACTAATCCAACTACGTAAAGACAAATTTATATCACGGTTGTTTGTTTATCTTTAAACATTGGTTTCATTATCAGGAATTTACATAAAAATATAACCATGATAAATATCTCTTTTTAAGGGAAAGATTTGTATACATTTAAAGTAATATTGTACTTATAGTATTACTATACATTTTTCTTCAAATAAAACAACAGTTGTCGTTTTACAAACATATTGTTATGGTAAAACTTTCTTTTGGGTAGTTAAAATCGATTTCATCCTGTGTAAAAAAATGTATAATATTACCAAACCTATTCATAAATAATAAAGCATTGCATGCCTTATATTGTTGGCTATTTAATCCTGTAATCATCATCTACAGAACCATGCCGTCAACGTCAACAACGCAAATTCAGCCTGGGATCATTCTTCGGGTACCATAGAGGTACAGCACATAAGCCCCCAAACAATAGTTGCAATGAAGTCGTGCTAGACATTGGAAGTGATTACAGCTGGAGCGATACGTGAGTACTGATTTGAACATAAACCTTGTAAAAGTTCATGGTAAGGAAAATATGTTTCCACATATTCTCATTCATTATTCCATCTATAATGTTGAGACAACTGAAGAATTTTCTCAAAAGAATGAACTCGATTATTAATGTAATTTAGTACAAAAACTTAATATTTTTTTTTTTTAAAAGACGTCAATAATAGATTTGTTTGTATGTATATTACACGACATCTTCAATACTTTCAGGTTGAATTTAAATTTCTTTTTTGCAATCAAAAGAATTTAAAACTCCTGTAGTGGTTCCACACAAAAGTAATTACTTCAGTCGGTTTTTAAATTAAAAATGCTTTTTTTTTACAGAACGAAATCATAAATTTGCCATCTTCTCTCTTTTTCTATAGCTTATTCTTCTCCTCATTATCATCATCACAATTAAATATTATCCACGAAACTTATTCCAAAATCATAAAATCTGAAGAATAAAACTTTTTTAAGGTTTAGTGATTTAACAAGTCTGTTACTTTTTTCCAGCACTTCAACCTCATCTAGCAGTGATTCAGAATCATTACCTCGAACGCCGATGTTCGAAGAATTTTTAGAAAATAGTTCTCGAAAAGGCCGAGCTAGTAGTTCCAGTCACAGCAGCATATCTCCTATTAGAGGTGATTTTTAGTCCATTTTCTAGAAATTCCTATTAAATAAAGATAAAAAAATGTACGATATTTCAGTTATCTGCTGAAAGTAAATTACTTCTTAATGTTAAAGATCTCTGTAGCTGATGCCGAAAAGCTTTTTTGCCTGGAAAAAAGCATATTCCAAAAAAACTTTTCTTTGAAAACTTTATATAAAATTTTTACATCCAGTAATTTACTGTAGCTTATTACATTTCTGTTCTTAAGTATAATTATTTCTTTCAACATTTAATTAATTTTCACCATTCGTTTCAGCGAGTGGAGGTGATTGGGAAGTCATGATGCTAGCTGATGAGCTGGAGAAAAGGGAACGAGAGAAAGAAAAAGAAGAATCGAGAAGGCATCACTATCCTACTCACACACTCAGAGACTTGGAAGAGGTTTGCACAAATTAACTGATAACGTTAACCGCAACTAAAATAGACATCAATAAGTTATATTTTCTTTTTACTTAGAAATGATAAACAAGCTGAAAGCCGATCTGATAGGATAATTCGTTACATATTACATAGGTAATACTTTTTAATGCGCACAAAATGCACACCATGCTAAAGAGAATATGTCAATATTGCATTTACGAGTGCAGTGATGGCATTTTACCAAGACTAGAAAAAAATACTAAACTCAATAGAGTTGGTTTTGAATGTTCTATGACAAGAATGCGACACTCCGCAGAGAGAAGACAGCCCAGACGACTACACTAACGTGGAAGAAGCGAACTCGGCAACTTCACATCTTCTGGCTCAATCTGTGGTAGACCCGTCGACGTTGCACGAGACTTCCTTCACGGAGAGAGGGAGGGACAGCAGGCAACAGCGAGTGGGGTCACTTGTTGAAACAGTAAGTTTTCGATTCTTTGTGATTTTACCCATTTAGAGGCATGTTCTTTTATGGGTTCTACTGCTTAATTCCTATTACAAAACTTGTCTAGATTAGATTAGATCTGGATGTTGGCAAAAAGTAGCTAACAAGCATACAGCCCGTCTGATGGTAAACGGTCACTGCTACAGTGACGATATGGACACCTACAATACCTGGGGTATCACGAGCGTATTGCCCACTCTGAATTAATATTAATATACCCTTTAAGAACCCCGTACTGTAGTCTCTAGGAAAAACCTTGACAGGAGCTCATTCCACAGCCTGAGCGTTCGCGGGAGAAAATTCTTTTAAAACTACACTAAACCTGATTATTTAGATTCAATCGTATGAAGATGAATTCGCTTTCTATGGCGTACTATGCAATGATAAAAGGTGGCTATGGGCATCACTTCTAATAATTCCTCAGATCATAATCGACTTACAATATAATATACAATCAGTAGAACTCACAAAGGGAGGCAGTCTTGCCTCTTCTCGAACTCATTTTAAACTTGGGATTGTGAATAATTCTCATAGGTATCCAGATGCTCCAGCCCACAGATAAGGGCAGTACTTCATTAAGAACCTGACTTGCGACTTATACAACATTAGTCTTTGTCTCGGGGTGAAGTAACGTTTCGCTCTATTAGGTACCCCGAGCTTTTTGGACGCCAGCTTTTGATTCTATCTTAGATGACCTCAGAACTCTACAGTACTGGAGATGTCGAAACCAAAGGACCCAATACTTTTGAATATGATAATGGATGTGCTTCCGAATTACAGAGCCACAGTAAATGGAGTTTTTTAGCAGTGAACGCTGTTTTTAGTTGAAGCATTTCTACGGTCGTTTATATAATTTATCTATATAGACTAAAGCTATCATAAGAGTTACATAATATTTCTAGCTTATTCGAATCTAATGTCCTGTGACCATCAAATTTCTGTGATTGACTAAATCCAAATATTCATGTAAAAAGTAAATATTAGATTCTTCACTAGATTATATTGTCTTTGTATATGAAGAACACAACTACGAGAGAAAGAAACGTATAAAACATCTCTATAGCTACTAAACTTCCAACCAAGATAGACATCCTCTGCTCTTTATCCATGATGATGATAATAATAACGGTTACCACTTTCCATCAGGTAGGCCGTCAGCTTAGTTGCCATTCTTATTTGTATATAAAAAAAATGTCCTTTGCAAAATTATAATCACTGTCTATATGTTTATGTAACATGTTCCTTTATTGTTATCCAATTACATAATGACCATATGATGTCTGAAAAAATGTTTTATATAGTGAAATGTATACAAAAGAAAATAAATAAATAAGTAGTAAGTAATGGAATAAAACTGATCTATCTTCCAATTTTTCTAATAAATTATCATTTAAATTACAGGTAAAACCAGATACGTCCCTACGGCAATCAAGAGGTCTGATCCTGCGAGCGGCCAGTCTAGACAGAGAAACTGCACCACCCACATCCCAAACTAAACGTTTCGGCTCCCTAAAGAGTTCTAGCACGGACTCTCACAAGAGACTCTGATCCGGTTTGCGACACGGACCTCGAGGGAGATCCGATAGACCGGAACCAAAGGGTCCAAGTCAAAATCAACATAAAACCAAAAATGTGATACGAGGTAAAACTCAATACGATCCATATGAAATTGGAATAAAAGGTTCAAGAGGAGAAACAAATGTTAATGACAGTAATGTTCCTGCAGTCGATGACGCCCTTCGAAATAACATTGATAACGATAGACGTCAAGACGAAACAATTATTTTAGGTCAAAATGAACGAGAGAACGGTATTAGTGATGACCAGCGAATGATTATTGGTCAATTATTGATGATTGTTATAATAATGTATGAAGACATTGACTATATAATGTTTTTAATTTTAGAATAGTGCGTGAAGTGTGTCATTGAAAGAGAGAAACTGTTTTCCGTGTTGTTTTTTACCTATCTTTATTAGTAATTTATTTAATGTAGATTATTATGTACTATATTAGCGAACGATTCAAACGAAACTAGTTAGGTTAGGTTAGGTCGTTTTTCTTCGGATACTAATGATAGACTTAGAAGTTTGACTTCATATATAGTTATAAAGCGAGAGCCTTGTATTAACAAGAAATATGCACAAAAGAGTGCTTATAACGCTGAGTTGTTCTTTTATTACCCAGTTGAAAAACTAATTAATTTATATTTCTTTACAATCAAATGTGAATGTTTTAATTAAATATCTAATTTCTTGTGAATATCTACCTTGTTTCTTAAAGCAACTTTTATCAAAATTAACAATTGACAAACATTTACCTTCCGTAACTGATTTTCATTCGCTTAGCTTTGGCGACTAAAATACGAGCCCTCAGATAAATGGAACAAGAACCTGACAATAGATACACTTTTGCTAACTAAGAAAAAATGCATCAAAAAGAACAAAATGCTGAACATTGCTGTCACGTTCTATCTTATGCAACAGCAGCGACTATGCATGGGTAATATTAATACCGCTCCGATATCTATATATTGCTTTTCTCTGGGCATTGATATCGGAATAAAGATCACCCATATTCCGACATCGCCCATATTAATCGGATATCATATTCATATTCAATTAATCGAATTCTTCCTTGCGACATTAAATATTGAATAACAGACATTTAACATATTCGTTATTCGACCAATATATAGATATTGACGTATATTACCCACTCCTAGTAGTTGTAGTATTCCATCTATTTATTTACGGAGATGTCTTTACACACGACACACTACTCTGTGAATATTTCTCTAAAGCAAATATTAGAGGAATATACTTAACTGTCATTACCACTAATTATAAACGTATCTTTTTTTACATACGGTACAAATGGAATAGCTATGATAAAGTGGTCATCTTTGCTAAGAATTAAATTATCGCTGTCTTTATTTACCATTGATCAATATTATTTTTTTCTATGCATGACACAAAATAAAATTTTGTTCTAAGCAGATTTTTATTTATTTAAAAATGTATTATTTTTATTAGACTTTGTTTCACGCAATCTTACATCAAACCTGTGACATATAATGCCTAAATAGAAGATATTTAATAAAAAATAATTAAATAAATAAAAATCTTCTATGAAATCAAAATGACTATACAGAAAGTGATTATGAAATCCATCTATGTCACACACAGGCTCCAAAATCACTTATGATAGGTAGGGCTGGTAAACCCTATTACTACCCTATTAAATCCCTACAGTCCATGGTACTACTGGTATGTCTATAGGCGACGTTTACCACTTTACATCAGGTGGGCCGTCAGCTTGTTTGCCATTCTAAGTTGTATAAAAAAAATCTAACAAATGTACCTACCTAGTAAGTACCTACTACATACAATTAAATAGATTTTGATATAATTTTCTATGTACCAAACAGAAGCTTACGTATAAATTCATGTGTTTTTATGATTATATTTCCTTTTGAAAAGTTAGATATGTCAGTTAAAAGATACAGAGATCTTTGCGTACCTTAATGACTATAATAGCACGAAGAATATTTACAATAGATTACAATGTATTTTGTGATGACCATAATGCAGTTTATGCCTATTTTAAACGCTAATTTTACTAAAGAAATTCCTTGAAAAAAGATATTATTATCTATCTATTTATGTATGAAGAAGTGTATTTGTAAATAAAAACAGCTTGATAGGCATAAGTGGAATTAAATTTGCATTCATCTCTACCAGTGGTGACAGGTGGAACAAAATTCCACATATATAAAAATGTGATGGTTCTTTTTATTAATGTTCTTATTTATTAATAATATTATTTTTTTAATGCAAATACCGTCTGTTGATGTGATATATTATATTTCTTCTTACTACTTATCAATTTATTTTTATTTTTTATAAAAGTTATAAATGTTTATATCTATTTAAACATTGGTAGGGACAAATGGAACTGGTCAATTTTCATTTTTATTATCATAATTTTTTTTATCATTAAACTAAAATCTTACGGTTCTTAAATACGAAGATCACCTACATTACTCATCAAGAAGAAATGTCACTTCATAAGCACAATATCAGAATTATCCAATTAAAAATAAACTTTTATTATTAAATTTTTATCTTAACTAGTAGCTAGGTACATATAAAAAAAAAAAATAAAAGAAACAATTTAATGTCCGTCATTAAGATATAAAAATATAGTGCCAAATAAATCTATAATTACGTAGATCTTTCAAATTTCTAATAGATGTTGCTGAACGAAGTGTTACTGTATTTTATTGTAAATAATATTTTATAGAGTTAGTGATCTATTAAACAGTTAACGATTATTGACAATTTATTATATAAGTACCTAATTAGTGAGATATTCTAAGTAGGTGACGTATTTAAATTAAGAATAATGATAACTGCAAATTGTTTGAATTTTTTTTTATTTGTTTTTTATTTTATTATAATTTTTTTTATACAAATGTACGTACCTCGCCAATTAAACCTGTCCACATTTACTATTAACTGTCCACGTTTTCTTTCCTTGCATACTTGTTAATAGTTTAATAAATTGCACGGTTATTACTCAGAAGGATTAAAAATATATATAGATTTTTTAATTCTTATAATAGGGAAGTCGCAAAACCACACTATCCAATCTAACATACTCATCGCCTGTCAAAAACATTAAAAATATTATAAATGTTAAAATATCGTTTATTTGGACTTTTATGGTAGGATTTATGATGTTAAGCTCCATTTACTGAGCCGATTTTGGTACTGTTTACAGACTGTTGTCGTATTTGGCAACACTGGCTAATAAATTCATTAATATATATAGCTACCTAATATTCACTTGCCTTTTTACAATCATGAACAATCAATATCTACAGATATCTAGATATCAGATATCTACAGATTTTATAAAATGTAGATTTTATAACAATTATATATACATAAATAAAAGAGATGTATGCTCATACAACTATTTTATTATTCTTTTTTTTAACTTTTACTTCCAATTATTTCCAAGCAATATATTTACTATATTATTTACAACACACTTCAACTGTATCTTACTAATATAATAAAACTGTAAATAGACGATATCTATTCACGAGAGATACTTAAGAAAAATAATACGAGGGGTCTTAATAAGATCAATAGATGCCAAAACAATAATTTTTAAACATTTTGTCTATCTGTCTGTCTGTATGTTAACTCCGGTACCACGAAACTACTGCACCGAATCCGGTGCGCTTTTCACATTTGTGTTCCTGAAAATCTTACTTAAAATCTGATGTATATTTTATCCAATGTTCTATTTTGATACAATAAGTAGCAGATAAATAATATCATAAATAATATAATAATCTAGTAACAAAAGAAAAAAAAACGATCTCTAGTAAGAAATTTGGGAAATATTCCTTTTTCCATTATTTTACAAAATACAAAATCTCCGGAATACCTTTTAATATAAAGATTTTTTACGTAATTTCTTTTAGTAAAACTTCAAATGGCCTAAAATATTATAAAACAAGATATTTGCTTTTTTTTTATATAAGTATTAATTTTCAATATATTTTATTATACCTGAGTAGATATCAATAGTACAAGAAAGAAATTCCAATTAAATTATATTTTCAGTTAAAATCAAATGTTTTCTTTTTCTAATTTATATAGCTACCTATCCAGTTTTATTCATGTAGTAAAATACTATTCTTAATCTATGTGGCAGTGAGAAAAAAAATAGTACTTTTTTTTTATTTATCTAATCAAAATAAAGCAAAGAAACCGAATTTCACTAATGAACATAATCTATAACATAATAAGAATAATTGGGTACAATTTTACATTTTGTAACATGTTAGTGGTTTGTAGTTTTATTTTTAATCTAGAGCACAATTTACTATATACCTATGATTTCTGAAAAAAATAGATTTAACGAAGCCCAATTATTATAAGCCATGATTATGAAATAAAAAAAAATAAAAACATTGTAACAATAAAAGCACTCTAGTGAGATAGTGACCTACTAATAGATAAACTACGACGAATGTAATATTTTAATTATTATAATTTAGTTTTAGGTGTAAAATAATGCGGAGATATTAAAAGTCATTAAATTAAATACTAAAACTTTTATTGCCCTTTTCCTTTAAATTTAGTATGTAATAAATATACCTAATGCTTTTTCCTATTTTTATAAATACAAATACAAATAACTTTAATGTAAGGTTGATAATTTTTTTCCCATTTCTACCTGTTGTAATGATTTCTGGTTATCTGCCGCGAACGACACAATTTTTTTTAAACGACAAAAGATAGTACTATACTATAGTATGCTTAGTTTATGGTAGAAACGAATATTTTTAACCGATGTCAAAAAGGAAGACGTTCTCAATTCGATTGTATTTTGTTATATTTATTATCTTATAACTCCGTCATTAAAAACCGATTTGAAAAATTCTTTTTTTAACTTTAGGCTTGTAAGAGTTGGGAATTAATGCAATCATTCCAACCAATCTGTAATGTAGGAAGTCGTAAAAAGTAATAAAAAGAAAATATAAGGTACAATACAATATACAATAAAAAAAATTGGTACCCTTAACGATTATATTCATAAACATATTTTCCCTATTTCGTGCATTAGATAAAACGAGGTAATATTGCCCGCTGTTATATTCTTTTTCAAGCATGCAGTAACTAATTTTCATTGCAGCCTGTATAAAAAATCAAAGATTCAAATATCGATAGATACAAATATATCTATCGTTACATTGTCTTTATCAGTTTCTTTTCTTTTCATGCAAGGGGGTCATCCCAGGTCCCAGCATAAAATAGGTTACCCCTTCCTTTTCCGTGGGTGTCGTGAAAGATGACTAAAGGAGCTTATAGTTAAAGAATCAGCAGCAGTGTCACTCTTAAAACATCACCAAAAGCCAAACTGCGATTGCGCACCGGCTTGCCAAGCGTAGCAACTACTAGCAACCCCCCCCCCCCCTTATGGTGAAGACTATCTTCAGCAGTAGACGTTTAACAAAAAAAGGATCGATTCTGAAGCGCTATTTCTCTAAACCTAACTCTTAACCTAATATTTCTACGTTATAGACTCCTTCGTTTTTAATAACCCTTAGTTCATATCGATGGATCAGAAACCGAAAAATATATGAAAAAATCAATAATTGTTACGAATCAATATTATGCTTTGTCTTCGTAAGTACGTTACTATATAATAGACTATACTAAGTCTTTGCTTTGTGTCGAATTATAATAATATGTGTATCTGTGGATATTACATAATTATGTTCTATCAAGTACTATCTAGAAAAAAGCGCGGGAAACGTTTAAAAAAGCGGGAGTGTTTTTTGATCTTCTTTAAATTAATTTTATTTTTATTTATATAAGGATTAGTCTTTTTTATATATTGTGTATTAGATTGTATATTTAATTGTATATTTTGTAGTAATAGTGTTTGTTGCTGTAAATATTGGTAAGTAAATTACCTATATTAACATTATGGATCCACCTATAGACCCTGGGGGGACAACCCCCAGGTGTCTGCAAATATAACTATTCCATTCAATAATAGTTTTGATATATTGGGTGAATCTAGTATGGACACAGATGGTTCTAGCGTTGCAAGTTCTAAACGTAAGCGAGTACGTGGTGAACGTCGCATTTGCAAACATTGCAATAAAAAACGAAGGAGGCACACCAAGGGTCTTGAATCTAAAATTAAAGATAGTGATTGTCAATGTATTGAAGATGAGAATCAAACTCAAGTATCAATCCCAGTTGTAAACAATACCGAGTCTGTTAAACCTGCTTCTCCACCCAGTACTTTAAGCAGAACTTTGTACAATGCCGAGGATATAGCACCTTATGTCGTTCATGTACAAAAAAATGAAACACATCCTAATGATAACACTACATTACATCCTATTGCATTTGGTCGCTTTTTACACACTAATAAGATAAATAATATAGTGAATGGTAGCCTCAAAAGAATAGGAAGAAACCGTTTATCGCTTTCTTTCTCAAATTTTGAAAATGCAAATGCATTTTTAAATAATAGTAACTTAGAAACACATAATTTTAAGGCATTTATACCTTCTTTCCATGTAACCCGTATGGGAATTGTGAGGGGTATTCCTAAAGATTGGACAGAAGAGGAAGTAATCCAAAATATATCAGTACCGATAGGTTGTGGGAAAATTCTAAAAACCAGAAGAATAAACAAAAAGACAATTAATGAAGGACAACCAAGTTTTATTAATACTGAAACCATTGTTATTACTTTTGATGGACAAATATTGCCAAAAAGAGTATTTATGTTTTACACATCATTAACTGTAGATTTGTACATTTACCCTACTATCCAATGCTATAACTGCTGTAGGTTCGGACATGTCAAGATGCAGTGTCGTTCAAATCCTCGGTGTTATAAATGCAGGCAAAATCATACAGGTGATAAATGTGAAGTAGATGAGGAAAATGTTTCTTGTATCTTGTGTAATGGTTCTCATTCAGCAATTAGTAAAAAATGTCCTGAATATGCACGTCAGAAAGCCATTAAAGAAACAATGGCCCATAGTTGTGTTTCTTATGCTGAAGCATCAAAATTTCATCCTCCAACTTCTAAACTATATTCAGATGTATTAACATCATCATCTCCTTCCAATAAATCTCATTTTCAATCTTCTTTCCTTAAAGAGAAATCATCATTACCACATATACAATCATCATATAAAAAAACAGTTACACTTAAACCACGCTCTCCTCAAAAAATACAACAAGGATATGATCGTTCTGCCCATGAAGCCATAGTTAAGGAATATAATATTCCTGCTCCCTCTAATGGTTGTGCATTATCATCAAATAATATTGACAATAATCAATCCATCATTGATATTATTCTCATGCTTATTAAAGTGTTATCGCAATCAAAAATGATACAAACAACTTTACCACCGTCCAACGATGCCATGTACAATGTATTGTCTCAATTGTTAACTTCTCGCAATGGATTACAAAGTCCAAATAATTCAGTGGAACTGTCGTAGCATAACAAATAAGAAATCAGACTTATTTTATTTGATTAATAAATATAATCCTTTTATAATAGCTCTACAAGAGACTTGGTTAAAGCCAGGATATCCTTTTAGGATTTCAGGCTTTACAAGTCTCCGTGATGATAGAGCTGACGGATATGGCGGTGTTGCCATATTGGTCAAAAACTCCCTTCTTTTTTCTTCTTTTTCGCTTCCTGTATATAGCGGCATTAATGCAGCTGCTATAATTATAAATGGTATCTGTTTTGTTACTTTATATATTCCTGATCCTACATGCCAAATATATTCACAACTAGAACAATTATTTTCAATTTTACCTAAACCTTTTCTCGTAATGGGCGATTTTAATGCTCAGCACCAATCGTGGGGCAGTTCTACTTCTAATTTTTATGGTGGAAAACTCCTGACGATAATTGACACTTACAACTTATGTATTGTTAACTCAGATGTACCGACACGTAGAACTGCACCGAATGAAGGGTTTAGTGCTCCTGATATTTCAATATGTTCTTCTGATTTAGCTTCTTCACTGTCGTGGTATCCTCATTCCTCTACCTTCGGAAGCGATCACTTTCCCCTCATTCTTTCTTTTCCAATTTCCATTCCCTCAAGTCGAAAGAGTAGTCCTCGACTTAAATATAATTTATCAAATGTAGACTGGAATATTTACAAACAATATTTAGATAATAAAATATCGGAGTTACCTATTGTTTATCATGGAAATGAACATCAATGTTGTAATGACTTGATAATTAATATGAAGGAGGTTGCTGATTTATTATTTCCTGTTAAAAATAGTGCTTCAGGGAAAATTCCCTCCCCACCTTGGTGGGACAAAGATTGTACGGAAGCAATTAAAAATCGTAAAGAGGCTGAAAAAAATTATAATAATTACATGACATCAGAAAATTTTGAAATTTACACCGCAGTTTCACGTTCTACTCGAAAACTACTAAAAAAAAAGAAATTGGAAGGTTGGAGAAGATTTTGTTCTTCTATCTGTCCAGAAGTTAATTCATCAGTCGTTTGGAATAATATTAAAAGATTCAGATCTGCCTTTAGTGATCATACATCACGTTCTGCACTCGATTTAACTTTAGCGAATAAATTTTTAGATCGCCTTGCTCCTAGTTATGTGCCGGAATGCCTTTACAATATTTCTCTATCCGTCTCTGACGAATTATCCGAACTTGAGTCTCCTTTTACTCTTGTAGAACTTAAAGGTGTTCTAGCTTGTATTAAAGACTCTGCACCGGGAGAAGACGGTATACCGTATTCCTTTTTTAAAAATGCTAGCGATGCGACATTAATTTACTTTTTAAATATAATTAATTCCATAATTATTTCGGGAAATATACCTACTTCATGGAAGTCTCAGATTATTATACCATTTCTAAAGCCTCATAAACCACCTTCTGAACCATCTTCATACCGTCCTGTTGCACTTTCCTCTGTCTTACTAAAGCTAGCTGAACATTTAGTGAAGAACCGTCTAGAATGGTTTTTAGAAAGTAATAACTTACTATCCCCGAACCAGTTTGGTTTTAGGAAAGGTAAGAGCACCTTAGATAATGTGAGCATTCTTATTTCAGATATTCATATAGCTTTCTCACAAAATTTGTCAATCCTCTCAGCCTTTTTAGATATAAATTCTGCCTATGATAATGTAATAATTTCTATTTTAAAAACTAAATTACAAGCTTTAAATGTACCGGTAATGCTTTCTAATTTCATTATTAATATTTTATCAGAAAGAACAATACATATGGATCTAGATGAAGATACCAAATTATCTAGAACAGTATGGAAAGGCCTTCCACAAGGATCTGTTCTCAGTCCAATTTTATTCAACATATACACATACGATCTAGAATCATTCCTTGATAAATCCGTCAAAATTTTACAATATGCTGATGATCTCTTAATATATTTTATTGCGAAGTCCATAGAATCTGCTTCTGCCAAATTATCTGATTCATTAGATTTGTTAAAAACGTGGTTAGATGCAAATGGTCTTAATCTTTCGGTAACCAAGAGTAGTGTAGTTTTGTTTTCAAGAATGAGATCACCGCAACAAATTAAGGTTCTTTATGATAACTCATACATTCCTATAAAGACTGAAATTAAATTTTTAGGTATCGTGCTAGATAATAAATTAACAGGTCTGTCCCACTGTAATTATATTTCCACGAAATGTGAGCGTAACCTCAACATTCTTAGGTGCCTTGCTGGAGTTTGGTGGGGAGCACATCCCGTTTCACTAAAACTTGCTTATAATGGTCTTATAAGGAGTGTCATTGATTATGGAACTTTTTTGTTAGCTCCAGGAAGTTCATTTGCTTTTAAGAAATTGGATTTAATTCAATCAAAGGCCTTGAGGATTATCTCTGGAGCAATGAAATCAAGTCCAATCAATGCTTTACAGCTCGAAGTCGGTGATCCACCTTTGGTTTTAAGAAGGCAATATTTATCTGATCGCTTCTTTTTTCGTTGTTTACAATTATCTGATCATCCGCTTATTCAAAAGTTATCTCAACTATATATCTTTATTTCGTCTTCATCTTATTGGAAACATAAAAAACCTCCATGTTTAATACAAAGTTATGAAAAATATAAATCCATAGAATCTCCCACTTTTACATCGTCCTGTTTTCCCATTTATAAATGCTCATATCAATCTTTAGTTTTATCTCCTAATATTAAATATGATTTTGGGTTATCAAAAAATGATTCAGAATTGAATGCCAAATTTATGTTTATAACTGACATTGAATGGAATGAATGGCACTACATCTTTACAGATGCATCAAAACCAGACAATAGCGGTTGTGTAGGTGTGGGTGTGTTTCATTCACAATTTAATATTGTTCAAAAAATTAAACTTCCATCGGAATCTTCAGTTTTTACCGGGGAATGTTATGGTATTTTAAAAGCTGTAGAATATATACTTTTAATGAAATTACATAAGGCAATAGTTTTCACTGACTCTATGAGCTCTTTGCAAGCTCTAGCCAAATATCCGTTTAAATCAAAACCAGTTTATCCCATTATTTGTGACATAAGACAAAGTCTTTATCTTTGCATGTTGAGAGGGTATTCCGTTTCTTTTGCCTGGTTACCAGGACACAGTGGTATTAGCGGCAATGACAAAGCTGACCTTATGGCAAGAGAGGCTGTAACTTGTGGTGATATGTATCCGTATCATAATTACTGTAGTGACCTAGCTTGTCTCCCAAAAATATATTTAAGGTATGCCTGGAAGGAATATTGGGAAAAAACAAGTACAATAAAAGGAAGATTTTATCGCCTTATACAACCCGATATTCCTTTCAAACCATGGTTTTGTAAATTAAAGCTTGGAAAGACCGCAACAACTATTATAACTCGTATGCGTCTAGGTCACGTATGCACACCTTCTCATTTATACAAGCTTGGTATTGTACAAAGTTCGTCGTGTAATTGCGGTGCTGAAGTGGCGGACTTGAATCATATATTCTTCTCATGTTCTAAATTTGACCACACCTCCCTTTTTAATCATCTCCGATCCATCCGTGTTCCATTCCCAACTTCTATTCTTACTCTACTTTCTTCCAATGATCCTATTATCTATAAAATACTATCTTCATATATATATAATAACAATATTAAGATTTAGTTATATTACATGAATACATTTATAGTTGCATCAATTGCTTTTCCTATATATTTATAAGTATATTCTCATATGTACAAGTATATCCTTCATATCCTATAAATATCCTAGACCTAATCCTTATCCTTTCTAAATTCGTTTGTGTTAGGTATTTTTATTACTATTATCGTTTCCCCGTTTTGTTCTTGGCAAAATACCCTAATATCGGGGTGAACGCCACAAAAGAAGAAAAAAAAAAAAAAAAGTACTATCTAAAATCTATCTTCACAGGGAACAATTCAAGTGGAAAACAAGTACCAAAATATGGGTTTATGAGAATAGTTTATTGCATAGCTGAATTACTAAGAACAAAAAATTACATGTTCTTAATTGAATTAACTCTCGCAGAAACATTAAGGATGTCAAATAGTTGTCAATTTTGTCAATGTCAAATTGTGAAGTCCAATCCAATAATGCAACAAAAACAAATGTCATTTCTCTGTTTTCATTCTCAATGTTATTCTTTGTAATGCGTTATCTTAAAAATAAATCTATCATGGTGATATAGAAAACGAGGATTATACATTTTATTATCATAATAACAAACTTGCTGATTTTTATTTCCTCTATTGCACCTTTACTCTTAAATAGGTTCGTCGCTCCGCGGGCGGGGCAAAATGTCGCCTCGGAAACAACCAATTAGCTTATTTAAAATGTGCGTTAAAAGTTGCATTACTCTAATAAATTCAGCTTGTTATGTTATTGAAAAAAGTTATCCCGAAAATATGTTTCATGAGTGTGAGAGACAGGCGTTCGAATTGAAGTGCTACTTGATGTCGATGCTGCCTGTCAGGTACACAACAACAAAAGAAAATTATTATAATTATACAAATAAAATCCATTTTTATATACTTGACGCAACTAGTAAACAATCTTACTATGTTTTTAATGAAATTTTTTATATAAAATAAAAGTAAAAATGTATAATAACTTAATTAATATTTTTTAATTAACTACTAGTTTATATTATCTAAATGCATGCAGAGATTGTTTGCTTACTGTGTAAAGTATAAGAAAGCTACAATTTTTTTTTTTGATAAAAAAAATAACTTGTTTACTAAATCAAAAAGTCTGAATCATAACTATTTTGGTCTTCATTTCTAAACTTTATAATTTGATATATATTTAAATAATCTACTCCAAAAACACTAAAATATATTGTTATTATGACTTTATTTCCAATCACCCTATTAATATAATAAACATGAAAGTTTGTAATGATGCATAGATATTTATTACTGTATCTACTGCAAAAACTACTGAACAGATTTGAATAAAATTGTCACATTAAGTATGTTAAATCCCAACTTAGCATATAGGGTACTTTATATACTTACTGATCTACATCATGGGAGCTAGTTTCTAATAATTATCTATATAAATATAACAATAAAATCACATAATCAAATTAATACCCTATTATTATTTATTGTTATAGATACACAAATTTTGCTATAAAATATATCTATAAAATTGCTACTAATACAATTTGCTTTTTCAGGTTATTTGATGTCCTCTGTTCGGAAAGAACATGCTGTCAATACCGAGGTGACCCTCGTATCCAACTCCACGTACTCACACACCCCAACATGACAGTCTTCCGCAAATGCGACCTCGATAATGGAATACCCCAGGGATTCTGGATCGAAACCATCTCAAATTTTAACCGTTTAGCTGTACTTGATCTGAAGTTCATATGTACAGATGAAATTCTTCAGGTTGTCGGCATAAGTTGTCCTTTACTGGAAGAAATCAATATTGTCTCTAGGGTAGACATTTGCAAATCACTTTTCAATGCTTCTGTATTAATAAGAAATGTGTCAGATGCTGGTCTTTGTTCAATTGCAAATTTAAAGCAGTTGCGAGTACTAGCAATGGATCCGCCTAGGAATGAGCGAGCAATTCGGGTAGGTCGTTGTGTGTCACAAGCAGGCATCATTATGTTGGTTAGTGAGCTTCCATATTTAGAGGAATTACGGATAGAGTCATGTGATATTGGTTCCACATTGATTGGTACGGCTATGGAAATAGGTCCATTGAGTCTTAGGAAAATTAACTGCCATTTCGCATCAGCTGATGGTATACGAAAATTAATAAAAATCTGTCCCTTCCTTAGGGAATTATCAGTTACTCATGTCTTTGAACATAATAAGGATGCTATATTGGAGCAAATCTCAATGAGTGATTTGAGGCTAAATAGGTTAGATTTGTCATTCTTCTCTTATACAGATTCAATGCAGCAACTATTATGCATAAAGGGCACATATTTAACCCACTTTTCATTGTGGGAAATCGACAATTCACTGACAATGGATGCTGTTTTATCTATCGGTAGATGTTGTCCGAATCTCAGCTCTTTATGCCTAATGACCCAATCGAAGTGTTTAGTTATCCCCAGACATTTCCGAAGGCCCGAGAAAATATTCTCAGAACTAAGAAATTTGACGATAGGCAATGAAAATTTTAATATTGGTCACATATTGACTTTCTTCTTTGAGTGCACACAGAATTTAGAAAAGTTAGTGATAAAATATCAAACCAATATAAATATTGATGAAACTTTAACACATTTATTAGAGAAAGGCTGTTTAAAAAATATACATTGTCTATGGTTGGATTGTACTTTAGAAGTATCCAAAGATGTAGTGAAACGAATAATAAGTACATGTGAAAAGCTTCAAATGTTTACAGTTGACTTTATGGAAGAAATGAATGACGTGCACAAGTACATAAATGAGAATAATTTGGACTTGAAATTGGGTACTTATTAGTTGTTAAATATTCATACTTTGTATTTACTGTAATATAATATTTTATTTAAATTAAATATTCGCTATTTTTTAAATATTATTTTATTTCTACCTATCCTTTAAAAAAAAAAGTAGGTTTTATGGTTTCCTCACTGTTCATGGCCTCTATAAATGGTAATTACGAAATTATTACAAATCGTCAAATAAAAAAACCTGATCTCTACATCCTTCATATTATAGTTCTCTGTTCTTAAAAACGGGTTCACACAGTATAATAATTAATCAAAATCAAAGATGATTTCATATGTTACTATATATAAAAGTAAAGTATATACAAATAACTGTGGGAACTGTACTCTAACGGCGAATGCGCATATTTGACATTGTAGTCGTATGCGCATCCGAAAACGATTAGACATTCAAAATAGTGTCATCTCACAGACCGTATGCTTATTTCCTTCGTTATAGGATAAGTAATATTCTATGATTACTTAAAACTAGAGTAATACTCAACATTATAAATAGAAAAAATATTTTATTTACAACTTAAATGTAACAAGAATGATCAAGTATATATTTTTCAATCATAATTCATATAGGTACATATAAATACATATACGTTTTTAGATTTTTCAATGTCTAAGATTTATTATTTACAACATTAGAGCCAAAATATGACGGTATTATTCTTTACAAACAATTGTAACTAGTATAGCAAACCGGGTCAGCCGTTTTTACATGAAACTCATACAAACAAATATTCTAAATTTTATGCTGTACCACTATTTTCAATATTCTTTATCATATTTTTGCTATAAAATAAATTTAATTGGAATCGATTCTAACATTTTTTGCGTGTTTTTTGTTAACATCGTATTGCCGTGGCATACGCATGGAAAATGTTTAATCTTTACTAATAATCTAAATATGAAAGTGAGTTGGCTGCACTAGCCACGACTCATACGCACAATGGCCCAAATGAGAGTCTAAGTGCGGAAAATGGAGTCCCTTTTACATTCACATTCACAATATGAAAGTGAGTTTGTTTGTTACCTTATAGCGCCTAACACCTTGACCGGGGGGGAAAGGGATTGTTAGTAATGGAGACTGAGAATGCCATTGCTAGCAATATACCCAACCAGGTCGACCTCCTCGCGGTTCTCCCTGGAAACTATAATGGTTAATTCCTAATGAATTCATCATGATGGGCTAACTGGCCTGTTTTCATTCTCACCGATCACCCTTCACTGGTGCTCCGCCAGCGTATCCCGTTAGCGCAGGCGGGGTTACCATACCATTTTCACCCATCAAAAAAAAACACCTTGACCAGGGGGAAAGAGATTGTCAGTAATGAGATCTTATAGCTCCATTGCTAGCAATATACCCTCTCAGGTTGATATCCACGCGGTTCCCCCTAAAAACCATCATGGTTAATTCTTGTTGAATTCATCATGGTGGGCCAACTGAACACATAGTAAAAATCTTACAGTCTAAAATCCATCAGCGACCAAGCGTAAGTAGTACCATTACATTATTATTCCAAAAAAAAACATTCATAATTAAGTATCCAAAAAAAAACTAAAATCCTAAACTCATAAATTATTGCTACTTACATTAAAATACATATCACAATTGTATAATTCAATTGAAAAAAATTCAAACATTATTCAATACAGTACCGTGGATGTTACAGCATGTACAAAATACTGTATAATCAGACTATACTAGGTATATGTCATAGACAACTTTAGCATCTTTTTAATGAACTCAGTTATTAAAAAAAAAAAAAAGAGAATAATCTAGTCGTGTCAGCACTGACTCGAATATTTCTGCTGGATTATGTAGCGTGTAAGGACCAAACCAATAATCCAACGATTACATGATAATCCATAATCTGGAACGCATCGCTCTATCTCTACGTATCCATTGAACGCCTTGTTATTTATTTAAATATACTAATACTCCATACAAAAGATGTATGGGAAATGAAGAAACACCTGCTTATATGCTGAAGTAGCTTATCATGGTCGACCAACAAGCATAAGTCCTTAATGGTTATTTGATTAGAATTTGTTTCGGCTAACATTGTTGTTTCGCAGTTTAAGTGCCGAACGGTTAACACTAGACTCCGAGCAGCAATCTAATAATTTGCTTGAAGATGCCTTGTTTAAAGATGAAACGCATGTCGCAAAACGTACGTGAACGCAATGGCACTCGGAGATTTATGGCTTATTAGCCATATTTAAAATGGCTTATAGCCATATTTCATATTTGAAAAGTTGTGTTTTGTGTGTTGTCTTTTGGTAGTATAGTAGTGGTGGTCAATCTTCGAGTGCTAGCAGTCACACACATACTAATAGTAGCGGAATTAAACAAAATAATTCTAATTATGACCAGTCTAATATTACCAGTGATATGAACTTCAGAAAAAGAATACCTATTAATAATAACTCAAATAATACATATTTTACCTATATCAGTAAAATATGTAAAAGTCCTTGAATTACAAAAATCTCTGCCTTTAGTAATTCAAACCACCTTCTGGAACAGTCTAGATTGGCTGGACTCACGCACTATAATCCAATCTCGAGTAAGCGCACAAAATATCAGTCACATAACATCAATATAAACAACAATGTCTAGTCAAATCAGAAACTTCTTCTTATATTTCTTGAAAGCTTTCTCTTGTCAAATGGCCAGAGGGTCAGTCAGGCCATTTGTATGCTATGGCTCCTTCATCTCCGTTACTAGATCCTTATCATTGTCCTTCTCATCATCATAGAACTCGTTCTTGGGCTCCACCATCATGTCAGCCTCTTCTTTACTGATCCGAACATCTGGATCGGGCTCTTCTTTTATTTTGAACTCTTCTGGGAAGAAATCGCCTGGAATAAAAGAAATTATCACTTGTGAATTATTAACTTAAATCACCTAAATAAAAAAAAATACTTGTACATTTACAATGGTCATTCAAGTTGGTCATTTATAGAAATGGTATATTTTGAAGATTTTTTTATTTTATTATTATATGAGCCGTTAACTATCCACTGCTGAACATAGGCCTTCCCCCATAAGGAAAGGGTTTTACTTTAGTTGCCACGCTTGGCAGGCGAGTTAGCAATTGCAATTAAGCTTTGATGTTTTAAGAGGAACACTGCTACCCATCCCTCAACCACTAACTTCTCTTCGCTCCTTACGACACCCACGCGTAAAGAAGTCATGGCTTATTCTATGCCAAGACCACATGGTATAAAAAAAAGCCACACATTTGGAAGATTACCTTAAATAAAAAGGAGGATGTTTATACATCATCTATGTTCCTGTAATATGCAATTACGATGCCAATTTAAAATAAATTTTGATAGTTCTTTTTATAATCAATACGGTTTACTACTGTATCGCTTACACATTAAGTTTATGACCATTGAAACAGTTTTTTTTTTTTGCGAAGCACAATCATGCTTTTTGCAAATCAAAACAATACACACTCCATTCCATATTCTAAATTCAAATATTTAAATCTAATGTGCCAACAAAACATGTAGACATTCACCAGTGTTTAATTTTAAACATCTTTAAATAATTTTAAATTATAATTGGTGACAGTACCTGGCACATGGGTCATCTGGACAGCAGGGGAATGCTGGCACATCTTGAGATTGTCATACACGTGCTTCGTTATCGCCTCTAAATACTGTTTGCTGTTCGCGTTGTTTGTGCTGTCAAGTACATAGATTTTTTTTTTTATTATTAAACACATAATTAGCTTGCAGTCGAGAGCTGCAGCCAGTAAACGAGGTAGGACACTACATTATTCTAAATATTTATAGTAATGAAGTTGAAATAGTTAATATTTTTCTTTGAGTATATTCATATGTGTCATATCATAAAATTATTTTTTAAATGCACATAACTTGTGACAAATTTGCTGTATTCATAAAGGAAAGTATAGTGTCACTTCTACTTAAGTGAGGGGGAGAGGGTTTATTACTAATGTGTATTATTGATGACCCCATTGCTAGCAATATACCCTACAAGGTGGACCTCCATGTGATTTGCCCTGGAAACTATCGTGGTTAATTCGTACTGAATATATCACAATCGGCTGACTGACCTGCGTTCATTCTCAAATATTTGCCCGCACTAATACCTCGCCAGTATATAAATTTACCAAGTTACCATACTATTTTTAAGCATTAAAAAAAACTTAGTGCATCTTTATCCCTATGCTATAATTATCTCATAAGTATGAAATATTTTAATAAATCATGGCATTTTTTTTATATGTCAATAAAATACACATTATGAAATGCTTAGACACACAAGTAAATCGTTTTGTAACTCAACATACCTGCTAATTTCTGGATGTAATTGGAAGTCAGGTGCAAAGAACTCCAAATACTCAGTGTAGGGCAACTCATTTGATATGTTCTCGTCGACAAGTAACGACGTCTCGTACGTCCAACACCGCGCCACGTTTCGTAAGGTATAGCTGTAAACAATTAAATAAAAATAAATTAATACCAGAGGGACACTATACGAAAATCGTCTGCATGCATCATTATGTCATTACAATGCGTGAGAATTAACATAGACTTCACAATTGTGATATACTTAATTTACGCTATACTTGTTATGTTAAGTACCTACAAACATATATTAAAGCTAATGTATGTTTGTAGGTATTTAAACTAAATTGCCGTGTGGTCTCGCCATAGGACAGCACAACAGCATCCCTCTTTAAACATCACCAAAGCCTAACTGCGGTTGCCAAACGTACCTATGTATATTCAGCAATTGGCAGTTAACGGCTGATATGGTATAGTATGGTATAGTACCTAAAAACCGAACCAAAAGTTAAAAGCAATTATTGTGAACTGATTGTAGGAATGAAAACGGCAGTTCGTCTTGAAAAGTTATACTGACAATTTATAAAAAAATGAGTAATTAAAAGAATACTATATTTGAAATACAAATTATAAAGGAGTTTGTAACAGCAATCTTTCAATCTTATTACCTAATAAGCTAATAGTCTGCTTCTTTTAAAGCTAAATTAATCAACGCTTGAAAGCGTTGATTGAAAGCAACAGATGCCACAGTGAGAGTGTGTATTTGTATATCCATCACATATTTCTCGTTCCCAACTTATGTGACGATGATCTGATGCGCTAGACGTATGTTTTACACGCATATGCACATTGTCTAAGGAGATACAGAGAGATAACACATTCTTCAGTAGTATCCATCAGTCACGGCTGATGGACATGCCCTTTAGTATGTTAAAAGCTCAAAATAGTTACGAATAAGTACTTACCCTCCTCCACCTACAACTAATGTAGGCACGTTCAAGTTCTTCACGAACTTCACGCACTCTCCGTGACCACGTGTAGACAGCGAGAAGCAGCCGAGCCGATCGCCCGCCAGTGAGTCCGCCCCACACTGGAGCACTATAGCGGTGGGCCGGTAGAACTCCATTACATTTGATATCACCGGTTTGAACACCTGGAATAAGGTGGGAAGACATTTATAGTAACAAGTTTAACAGCCCCATTGCTAGCAATATAATATTAAGTCGATCTCCACACAATATCCCCAAGAAACCGTTATGGTTAATTCTTTTTGAATTCGTCACAATGGGCCACCTAACCCACTTTCATCCTCACCCATCATCTCCCACTGGTGACAGCCAGAATAAACAGTTTCAGAATAGCAGTAATAATGACACAACTGCTTCATGGTAGAAACACGAATGGGACAGAGGTACCCAAGCAATCGACTTTTGTACAATTAATCATTGCTATAAATATAATAAATACCTGAACATAACTCTGATCATCTATGCCCTCTTTCAGGGGCACATTCACTGAGTAATATCTCCCACTTTCGGCGCCAATCTCATACATATCTCCCGTACCAGGAAAGAAATAGTTTCCATACTTATGAAAACTAACAGTCATAACTCTGTCAGTTAGATAGAATGCTTCTTGTACACCATCACCATGGTGAACGTCAATATCAATGTACAACACTCGAGGGTGATATTTCAATAACTCCAAAATTGCTATCACTATGTCATTTACATAGCAAAAACCTGTAAGTGTAATATTTTTTAAAGGGAGGGAAAGGGATTGTTAGTAATGGAGACTAAGAATCCCATTGCTAGCAATATACCCAACCAGGTTGACCTCCTCGCGGTTCCCCCTGGAAACTATCATGATTAATTCCAAATGAATTCATCATGATAGGCTAACTGACCTGTCTTCATCCTCATTGATCACCATTCACTGGTGCCTCGCCAGCGTATCCCATTAGCGCAGGCGGGGTTACCATTCCATTTTCATCCAATAAAAAAAAAAATTTAAAATAAATGTGTGAGAAGAGGAGGAGTATATTTATACTCACAATATTTATAAATGTGAAATATAATTTATATTACTTTATTGCAATATATATATAAAGCAGAATTTGTAGCACTAAGGCTATTTTTACTGTGAAGTAGCAATTTCTACCATACCCTTTTAGTATAAAAAAGTGAGATAACCTTGCAATCCCTGACACAGGCTTAAACTAACTTAACTTAAATTTTTAATAATGACAATGGAATACTTTAGTAATGTACATAAATGATGATTATCAAATAAGCTTATATCTTTTCAATTAACTGGATTGAGTTACAAGTTTATTATTCAAGGATGCTTGCTAGCGCAAAACTGACTGGCTTGAGAGTGTAAGTCCAACTGGCTGTGTCATGACTGCTTGTGATTAAGGGTCCAGGATTGTCTCAAAACCATTTGTGCATTCTCAACTAAAATACACATAAGTCAATCTGGTTAATCTTACAGTTAAAATATCACTGTGAGATCACTGCTAGAAATTCAGACTTCTACCATTGTTTACTGAAAGCAAAATTTTGTCATGTAATTTTAAAATTGTAGAATACATTAAAAATGCTTCCCCATCCTGAACTTAGAGTCTAATTAAGGTATTTTTTTTTACATTTTGCCACTCTGTACATTCACCCAGATCCCATGCTTCCTCAATTTTAAAAACTTTACTTACCAGAGGGTTCAAATTTCTTAGCATGATGCAAACCTCCTGACCAATTTATAGCAATGTCACAAGCATTATTATTCAATTTCATTGCACCCTCTAATGATGCTCCTGTATACATAGAACAAAAGTCGAAAAGACCTTCAAAGACAGGGCAATCATCACCAACATTGTAGTGAAGCAAGTCCTTTGAATAAGCTGAAATAGATTAATATAATGAATATTGCATTGACTGACAACAGTCAACAAATACTCCTAATAATACCTCTATCTAGGTAGCCATTTAGGTTGTATAGTTATGGCATATTTCTTTTATTTTTAATAATTTCTTTTAACAATTTTATAGTTTTTCACTGGTATTTGTTATTTTTGACTTAGATATAGCCACACTTTTGTGTAACATTGTTAAGATTAGATTAAGATTCTTATCAAACTCAGCCCTCTGCAAACTTTTTAACAATAAATTGTTAAAAATTGCCCCAAAAAATTGTTGTTTAAACAAAATTGTTTTGGTTCGAGTTACTAAGTTAAATAAAAGCAAATAACATTTAAAAAAAACTCACTTTGAATATTCTGTGGAGTGACATTTTGAAGAAATTCTATATAATCCTCACTGTGAAACCGGCACATATCATGGGCACTAGCTCTGTATGGCTTGTAGATTTGCATCTTTTTGTGAAGCCCATAGTTTAAGACCAAGCTATGAGTAACAGACAACCTATGCGGTTTCATAGGATGTCCTGGCCCATAGTGAAAATTACCGACATCGGCGTTATAAAAATACGCTACTCTGTGTTGAGTCATAATGGTTAACAAACACGTATTCCTTTAGAATATAAATAATACCAAGAACTAAAGCAATAACAATCAAACGTTTGGTCAGTTGAATATCGCCTAACATAGTGCCATGAGATCCATCATGCCTAATATAAAAGTACGTGAACTGCTCATAGGGTATACACCATTACAAGGATTAAACACATAACATACATAATAATTAAAATATTTATGTCGTAAAACGCTGTAAGTTTGCTTCTAATGGAAATAAATGATTTGATTACAACAAATGACAAAAGAAATTGACAATCAATGACACACTGACTTTTTTGATATCTGTTTCACGGCTCTGAAGGCATAGCTTTTTCATCCTATACTTTAAAGTTCGAAATGTCAAATTATTGAACGAAAATTGTTTGCAGTGCTACCAGATTAGACGATTCTATCTCGAATCTCAGACACGTAATATTATTTTGGAACGAATGAATTTATTACAAGAATGAATTTATTCTTACCTAACTTAACCTCTTTAAAATTCCTTATAAATTAATACAAAGGAACATTTATTTATTTAAATATAAATTGCTTACTTATAGTTTCACTAAACGTGTAGTGTTATACGTATCTCTAGATACATTTCACGAGCGCTTGGAATCTTTTTAACGACATTTAACAAACTTACCTAATTTATATGGTCGCCGTATGAATGTGGTCCCGGTATAGAATGAACCACCGTGAAAATCATCGTGATTTATTCTTGTCGAATTCTTCACAATGAACCGACAAGCCTGCCTGCATTCTTACCTATTATCTATCACTGGTATACCGATACTATATACTATATTATATAGGCGGAGTTACCATTCTATTGTCATACATAAGAATAAATTATCATGCCTTTTCGTCCATCATGAAATAATCGTTAGTAGCGGTACGCATGGAAATCAGCTGTTATACAACTAGCAATGGTGACATTAGTCTCCATTATTAACCACACTACATCCCCCCTTTTAGTTTATTATTAAAAATATCAATATCTGGCTGTAAAGCAATCAGATCATTGAGCGAAGAAATAATACAAGTGGAGCAAATTGAGCAGTGCGTATAATTGCGATCCAGCGGCATAATGCAACTTATCAGTCCGTCCATCTGTTTGTCACGGTGTTATGTCTCAACAACTGCTAGTGATATCCCATTTAAATTTTAAATAGTTTTAGTAATATTGGCTATTAGATGTTACAGAAGAACATTTTTATTTTCATTGCTAGGAGAACATTTTTATTTACAAATTATTATTTTCTGCTCATTTCCTTCTAAAACGGTTTAGTAATCTAAATTAATATTGCTTTAGAGATAGGGATAATTTTTTGTTTTTAAAATTTAAACTGATAAAATACTTAACCGATTTCAAAAATTCTTTCATCTATATTATGATTTATATTAACAATTTTTTTTTTGGAAAAGTGCGAAAGTAAAATATTAATATAAAAACCCAAAATCATCACCATCATATCAGCCGTTAACTGTTATCTGCTGAAAATAACCTTCCCCAATAAGTGGAGTTTAGCCAGTAGTTGGCAACTGAAATTTGGCTTTAGTAATGTTTTAAGAGGGAAGTTGTAGCTTATCCCTTAACCATTAAGTTCGTAAACTAAATCGCTTGTCACAACAACCACGGAAAAGGAAGGGCTGGCCCATTCTGTGGCGAGACCACATGGCTAATCAGCTTCTATAAATTATATGTATATGAGAAATATAATAGAATAATTTCTGCATATGTATGCTGCTACATTATTCTATGCTGCGACTAAACAGTAACAAAAAAAAACTAAAATATTTCCGAATTTTTATTATTTTTTAACAATAAGTAAAAAAAATATTATCCATGAAAGCTTGCACACTAGCATTAAAACCATGGTGCATAAAAATGGAAATGTGTGATAACATTATTTAATATTATAAAAAATATTATTTATTGAATAACAAATTTAAATTTAATTGTATTCCAAAACAGTATCTTATAATCTACATCTCATCAAACATATCACATACATCTGATTTTACAGCCACCTCAGTCATATCAGGTACTGTATCATTTTCATATAACTGACTGTCTTCATGACTATCTGGGGTTTCATATGTGCTTAAAACATTCTCTTCTTTAAGTATAAATCCTAGTTTGTTTTCAGTAATAACATTTATTATATCTTCATTCTTACATTCAGTAAGTGAGCTTCTATACTGAATATACCATTTATTATAATAAGTTGGATCAGTTTCCACACACTTGTTTCTAAAATATTTCAATGTATTTAATGCTTTTGAAAAGTTCCCATCAAAATTACTATAGAATAGACGTTCAATAGCTTTTGTCATCTGTGGGGAAAGGTTGAAAATTGTTTGATTTTTATCTAACAGAGTCTCAAAATCTCTGATTGGATTTTCTGTTCCAATATTGTTTACTTCAATTGCCTTCGCTGTAGCAAGTTGAACTTTTGGCATATCATTAGATTGATCATTCGAATCTACATCCATAGTTGTTTGGTTAATGTTGTTTTGTATCAATGGAGTTGAATTTACTTTTTTATCTCTTGTTTTATGTTCTACCTTTTTCAAAATAAACAAATCCTTCAAAACATTAAGGGGTTCTTGACTTCTCTTTTCTATCAGAGGAGGTACTTTAAATAACATCATGATATCATCCCTGGGCTTTGGCAGTGGTTTGTCAGGATTCATTGCACGAAATGATATGCAATCTAAGACATACTGTACAGATGGACTCACTGTTTCAGCAATGGGGAATGCTTCTCTGTCATCATATGTTTCATCATATGCATTTGTTAAATCCATTGCTTTTATAAGATTTTTAAAAGCATCAACTTGTTTACTTGTACATTCATATTTCTTAAGATTGGTAACTGGAAATGCCATATATTTTATATTTTCCTTGTAGCAAATTTCAATCATTGATAGGCAAATATAATCATTAGTATCTATTACAGGAAAAAGAACATACATTTTGGGTGCATTCCCATTGTTATACACACGTCTAGCAATGCCAACCAAATTCAATTCATGAAGACATTCTACAAGACATCTTACAGCATATTGGGCTTTATTATCACCTTTTCGTCCAAATATATATGATATACCATTACCATTTAAGTTTTCCCATTTGACATTGCCTTTATCAGTAAAACCATAAATGGACAAACATTTTTCACCAGACTCATATGAGGAGTTATTCATATCAGCATCAGGAATTATAGTTTGACCATAATGGTATCCTTTTATTATATCTTCTTCTTTAACATTGTTCTGATTTTCTGTTATGTATGTTTTCTGTTTCAAAATACCTTCTGTAGAACTAGCTGTGGTACTAATTGGATCTTTTACAGCTGTCCGCCATTTGTTTATAGGCGGTTCATCTTTAGACCTAACAAATGATGAGATAGGTATTTTGATATTTGGACCTATACTTAAATCAACATTCCATGACATTGCACTAACAGATTTCTTTTTGTGAAACAATAAATATCGCATAGTATTTTCAAATGTTGCTGTTGCACCATCAGTATTTTCAACAAAATTACGAGCTATTTCAAAGTTTTCCTCTTCATATTTTTCAGATTTTCCATAGATATCAGGACCTATTACATCAACTTCAAATCCCTCCTTTTTAAAACCATCAAGTACCTGGAAAATATTGTTTTAGGTAAATAAAAATATTTTAAGTTAATAGATACAATACATACTTATATGTAATATAATATTATAATGAAATTCAATAAATGGAATATTTTTTAAATATTCCATTTACAGAATTTCATATCAATGAAATATTTAAAAAAAAATATTTCATTTTCATGACATACATCTACTGCATTAAGTAAAGTTAGCTTTGTCATATGTAAAAGTTTCTGATAAGGCTTTCCAGATAACAACTTTACATGGCTTCTGTACCATGACAAAAGGCACAATTATTTCTAAAAAATGTAAACATAAATTCAAAAATTTTGTAATTTAGATCCAAACTTAGGATCTCTGGATGCAATGAAGTGTTTTCTAACTATTACTGCTTAAAATAATGAGATAATTTCTGTAAATGTTGTTAAAAATATATTTATAAGTCTTATGGTATAAAAAAATATACACTTACTTGGTTAATTTCATCAGCTTCAACATAAGTTGGTGCTTTGAAGTTAGTCATTAATATGATCTTTTTATCTACAATTCTAACATTACTCACTCCATTCTTAAAGTGGTCAGCAGCAACCAATAAAGCATCTATCCAATCACCTTTCTTTTTGGAGGGCTGTAAAAGTAAAATATTTAGATACTCTATGAAAAGTGCATTAATCTATTATATAATTTATTATAATTATAAATTATATATATAACCATAAAATAAAATTTTTTATCAATTGGTCTAAAATAGCTGAACAGATTTTAGTGGATGATAATGAAATTGTAACCCTACCTATACTATTGGTATACATGGGCAGGGTCCCAGTATGTGATGACAGACAAGGATGAAGTCAGGTCAGTCAGTCATTATGACAAATTAACCATGACAGTTTCTAGGAGGAAATACATAAAGATTAACGCAGGATATATTGCTAACAATGGGAACTAATCTCTCCATTATGAACAATATATTCTCTCAACTGAATGGACTTGAATGGAATTTGTTATACAGACAGACCATGTTAGATTAACTGTTACAGGGATTAAAAACCACTTACTTCGTCTGGCAAATCACGAATTAGTTTCCAACTAGGGGGCTGTAACTCGGCTAGCATTTCAATGTATTTGAAAGTACCATCAGACATCTCTGCCATATTGTTTTTGGTCTTTTTTGAACCCAACAGTACAATTCCGACAAGATTTTTTCCTTGACTCATAATTTTTCTTTCCAAAACTCGAGCCGCACATGCCTTCGCTTCATCAAAGAAACTTTTACCCGGCGTTTCTTCTGACATAGCGACATTTTTTCCAACGTCTAAAATAATTATAGAAGCTTGATCTATTTTAGGGCGCATTTTCTTTTCTCCTAGTAAATAAATAGTTACTTAATAAAAAAAAACGAAACACAAGAAAATTAACAATAAGATTAATTCAGTATTTACCTTTTCTCAGATTTAAGAAAGTATCCAATATTATTATTAAATATTTATAAAACAAAGGTAAACAAATATCTAACAACTATTAACCATTACACAGAACAAAAAATTGCAAATTATTATGAAATATTGCAATGCAAATGTAAATTCAATTGAGTATTGTTGACTTTTTTTAGTACGTTTGTTCCGTTGTGGAGTATTGTTGACGTGATTGACACAGACAAAATGACGTCCACAGAGCACTTATGATGTGAATGAATATCATCGTCTCTCGTCCCAATATAATTCTTAGTCCGAATGTCAGGGGGGAAGGGTTAGATAGATAGATAGATACTCTTTATTGTTTCCTCCAAAAGATAGGGATTGTTAGTAATGAGGTTAGTCCCCATTGCTACCAATATACCTTATCAGGTCGACCTCCACGCGGTTCCCCCTGGAAACTGTCGTAACTAATTTATCGTTGAATTCGTCACGATGGGCTAACTGACATGCCTTTTCAGCCTCACCTATCACCTCTCACTAGTATCCCGCCAGTGTATACCGATAGCGAAGGCGGAGTGACCGTGCCATTTACATCCATTAAAAAAAAAGTCCCAATGTCAAATTTGACTAGAATACCTACTAGACTAGTAGACAGTAGGTACCTGCTGTTTTTTCATACTGACTGATTGACAGTTCGATAAGTGTACTGACGATTGTTACACTTTGGTCGCTTCATTTATTTTCTTATGGTAATTCGTCGTTGCCGGTTCATTTTTTAGGTTCCTATTTCTTTCAATTGTAAAAGTTGTTGTATTTCTTGGCTTTTTACACAAACCGTGACTTCCAGTTGGTTAAGGTAAGAAATTATACATAGATTTAAATAATGTTATCGTTTGTTTAACCTTAGATTACCGTAATTATTTGGTGACACCTTTAAAACGTTTTGTTTCTGTAAGTTTCTTTATTACGTAATGTTTATTTTGAGTTTTACAAGTAGCCTACTTGAAGTAGGTGTTATCATTATCATTAAACACAACCAACACCTACTGTAGAAAATATATTTATAAGGCACCTCATGACCTTTATCTTGCTATAAAAGAGATTTAGTAACAAACATTGGTAGGTACAAATAAAATCTTTTTCAAATAATCTTAATTTTACAAGTTTCTAAGTTTCAATATTAACACGTACAAACTTAGGATGGTGATAGGTAAGACAGTTTTTATCCCAATAAGAAAATAAAAAAAAAAATACCCAACTACCTAAAAAAAGAACAATTCAAAAATTAAAAAAAACCTAATTTTTTATATTGCTCAATGCACACACAAATATCAAAATGATATCACTACAATCAGGTAATACCATGTGTTTTACGTTTATTTAGATATCTAACGCCAAACAAAATAACGATATCTATTTACTTTTTTTTTTATACTAACATTAATGCGCGGGCGAATCGAGTGCCTCCGACGCGATGCAAAACATAACCTATATATGCGATCACGCGTAAATCTTTGCGTCTAAACGTCCATTATGTACTAGTAGATTTCAAATCCAATAAGAAGACTACCAATATAATCGAGAAAACCATATCGCAGACAATAATAATAAATTAATATACCATTGCTCATATTACACAGCGCCTTCTAGTTCCAAACTAAGCACAGCTTGTTTATATGGTATTATACAGCTGATATAAAACACCCAGGCCAATACTAACAGACTCATATACACATATATACAAATAATTGTTTTTTTTTTTAGTACGTTTGTTCCGTTGTGGAACAGGCTAAGGTCGGAGACCATGCTGCCTAGTCTTCAATATGATAATTTGTCTGGAATACAAATAATTGTATTTCCTACATCTATGTATATTTTTATTAATTCATGATCGATATAATAAAAAAAAGTAAATAAAAAAAAAAACATCCTCGGTAATCTGTATACAGTAGATTTTTTTTTTCATTTATTGCGACTTTGGCGAAAACTATCAGCTAAAAAGTAACAATTATAAGGTAACAGAACATACAGTAGATACTTTTTATTAGATTAGTAAGTAACCACAAAACAAGTAACAGAAATACTCATTAAAAAAAATTTAGTCTGCATTTATTATGTCCTAGGAATTAAACCAAAATTATTAAAAAAAAAAAAATAGACTAAATCACAAAATCTGATACGTATCCACAGTCGTGCATCATATGGTTACTTAAATGATTTTATGAGAGTTTTTATCGCCAACAATGACATAATGATCATTAGCGAACAATAATTTAATTTATACCGACACAAATAATAGTAAATAATAGTACAATGCATTACTGTAAATAATAGATTTAGCAAGAAGACGTGACAAAGTAATAGATAAACTAAGTATTATACTTATTTTTTTAAAGTCATTACGTTTTTAATATTATTATTGTTTATATATATATATATATATTATAAGTATATATATATATATATATATATATATATATATATATATATATATATATATATATATATATATATATATATATATATATATATATATATATATATATATATATATATGTTTTATAAAACAACAAAGCAGTTATTGACATTTTACGACCACGTCGTTTATCGAGTGTCGATTCTCGCAAATGCAGTGTATAAAAATGATAATAAGGTAGAGTGACGACTTCAAATACATTGTAGGGAGTCGGTGGATGCAGGCGACTCATGAACGTTTTTTATGACAGTGTATAAGGGAAGCCTGTTCATAAGAGAATAATTAACGCCTGAATTGATGATGGTGGCCGCAATGTTTATACTATCACACACAGCCATAATCATATTTATATCTAACGACATTAATTAAAATCCATCAATCCGAATGTACCTAATATACTTGATATATTTAATAAACAATAACATACCTTTTTTTTTTCAAAATTATTCATTTATAAATTAAGATTGTTCCACAAAAAAAAAATCGACTTCAAATGTGGCAAAAAATTTAACTGAACCGATTTTTATAACATTTCTATGGGATTAATTCTAAAAATATATACTTCCAGACATTCTTTAAGATAATTTTTTTTTATCAGTTTATAAATGACAGAGTTATGAGGTAACAAGCACGAAAGATAGTACAAACGAATTTAGAACCTAATTTCTGTTTGAAGTCGGTCGAAAATGGAACAGACAGTGTGTAATATAAAAAAAAAAGTATTCAGGCTATTTTGTTTTTATTTTTTGCATACCTATATATACACGAAGAAACATTGCCCTCTTTTCTTTAACAACCGGATAATATTTGCATCAGACCAGTATCAACAATTCACGCTTACAATGTAGCCCGTTTAACGTGCCGGTATGCTGGCCTCCAACTATATAACAGGTTGTAACTATTTACACAATCTCAGTACCACGTCGACCGCCATCGCTTTGTGATTGTCCCACAATGATTGGAACTGGTACTATACTGAGATGTGCGATTGTTTTGTTGATAGCCGACAACACTATGGTCAATTTTAGGGTGCTAGCGAGAGCCATGTCCACGGTGGCGAAGGCGTTCGAAGCAAACCAAGTGGTGCCCGATGTAGTGTCCAAGGCGCCCTCCGCTTTAGTAACGGTAAGACTGAAATATCTTATATTTTTTGTTTCTTATTCCTTTGTCCAGCTAATAATATAAAAATATTAGATATCGTAAATTTTTTTCTTTATATATTTTAGTTTATATTTCATTTTACTCCACTAATATTATAAAATTCTGATTTCTTTTTATATTTATAATATAAATAAATAAGTTATCATACTGTCCTTCCAATACTATAAAAAAAAACTTAATTATCTTATTTTTTAATGTTGTAAATACATAAAAGTTTGTAAAGAGCGAAACATCCATTTGGATCTTGAATTTGAGTCACGCCAAAGTTCAGCGACCACGGTAGACATTTATCCATTGCCTACAAGACAGAAAAAATTTCCTCTAGTTTTCAATTCTTAAAATATATCTTACTCAGGATCAAAAGGTCGGTTCCCTCGAAGATTTCTGTCTAAAATTATTTGGGGTCATTTCTATAATACTAGATGTGTCCCGCAGCTTCGTTCTTAGTTGTATTGTGCAATTGAATAACTTGTAATCTTAAGAAATGAGCTATCAAATACAAGAATATTTTTTTTTCAAATTCGACTAATAGTTGTAGAGATTAGCGCGTACAAACCAACGCTTTCTTTTAATTATATTAATATCATAATCATCATACCAGCCGTCTACTATTCACTGCTGAATATAGACCTCCTCAAAAGAGGGGTTTTGCCAATGGTTACCACGCTTAGCAAGCGGATTGGTAACGGCAGGTTTTGGTGATGTTTTAAGAGAACGCTGCTGTCCATCCCTCAACCATTAAGTTGCCTTAGTCGCCTCTTACGACACCCACGGGAAAGGAAGGGTTGGTCTATTTTATGCCAGGATCACACGGCAATTAGAAATGCGTTAGATATTAGATTGTTTCAGAAGTATCTAGTAACTAATTCTTGACGTCAGTGTAAAATTGCTGTCATACTTATCATGTCATTCCTAACTACTGTTCAGAGCTACATCATTACAATGCATCAAGTCATGGCATCTTGATGTTAATTTATATAATTTAGATTATCCAAGTTTACAATTGACGGCATGAACTTCTATTATCATCGTTGTGTGGACATGTTAAATGTCCATTGCTGAAAATATACCTCCCTCGTAAAGGAGGCTTTGCCAGTAGCTGCCACGATTGCCAGGCGGGTTGGCAACCGCAATTAGGCGTTGGTGATGTTTTAAGAGGGACGCTGCTGGCCATCCCCTATACAATTGAGCTCCCTTAGTCGCCTCTTTGTAAGAAGGAAAGGAAATGGTGGCCCATTCTATGGCGGGACCACATGGCTAATCAGCTTCTATAAATTATATGTATATGAGAAATATAATAGAATAATTTCTACATATATACACCATATCATATTAATGAAGTCACCTTTCTGAACCAGGCGGCTTAGTATAGGATTTTAAACAGATTTATCCTTCTGTCGGACTGGTATATAATTTGTTTCAACCTAATTTTAACTATTACCAAATTTTGCATTCCGAAAAAAACCATCTTCAGTTGCGGCAAATTCAGCTATTTCGATTTTAAAACTAAATTACTGAACCGATTTTGATAAAATTTTTATAGGACCAATCTGTAAATATAGCCTTTTAGATAAAAATAAAATTTTGCAAATCAGTTTATAATTGACTGTGTTATAAGGTAACAAACATAAAAAAAAAACCGAAATGAGCACTTTGTACTTTTTAAATCTGTTGGTGAAATAAAAACCGTTCTTTAAAGTATTCGTACGAATCAGAGGAGAATAATAATTCAAAATATAATGTTTTATTTTTAGTAAAAAATCCTAAATAACTTCGCAGTCAAATAGGTTAATATTTTGTTATTTTAATACCAGAGGGAGACTGTACAAAAGTCGATTGCTTGGGTACCTCTGTCCCATTCGTTTTTCTATCGTGAAGCAGTTGTGTTTGCATGGCTGTGTTTCGGTTTGAAGGGTGGGATATGGCGTAAATTTACAGGGCACAGAAGAATAAAATCTGAGTCCTCAGAAATGGCAACGCATGGGGGTATCATGGACGAAACAGTATACTCTGTTATGTCCATGGTACTGCTCATATCTATAGGCGACGGTTACCACTTTCCATCAGGTGGACCGTCAGCTTGTTTGTCATGCTAAGTTGTATAAAAAAAAACCTTCTAATATGAAGTTGATTCGTTGATTTTCGTTCCGGTTGTGATTCTTACTAATGAAGTTATTCAAACGTAATCATATGTTATTAGGGGCCATTTTTTTTCGTTATAATTTTAAATAAGACATCGTAATGATACCGTAATTTTTATATAATAACCCTTAAAAGCCTGATTTTTTAAATCAAATTAAAAATATATAAGTGTACCCTTTATTGTGTTTACTAATGGGGAAAAAATAGTAAAAAAAAAATCAAAACGATAATTTTATATATTTATTTAAAAAAAAAAAAACATTTGGTAACATGTAAACAGCCAAGTATTAAAGTAAAATCGATTGTAGGCGCCCAATGCGATTTATAACGCCGGTATCAAATTTGAAACTTCAAGTATTTAAGGGTGTATTTGAAATTGAAAATTGTAAGTATTTGAAATACTCCTTATATTTCAATAACAATAATAGTTAATTATTTTAAACAAAATATTAACTTATTTTAAATATACAATCGGGACTTAACGCGATTAAAATAAAACCTTTGCATTTAAATAGTATGTACCTATATACCTGCTTCTTTATTGCCGATGTTTCGACGTAGATTACACCACGTCGTGATCACGACACGACAAAAAAAATTTAATTAGTTTATTAAGAATTAGTTCAAAATTAACTAAAATATTAACTTATCCTATCTAAATACTAGATATGGTATGATTTTGGAATCGTGTGATTTTCTCTATGGAATATGTATTGAAATATAATAATAAATAAGAATAGATGTAACGCAAGGCGCCATCTATTTTCAAACAATGTAAATATGTATTGAAATATATTGGTTTAAATAAGAATAGATGTAACGCCATCTATTTTCAAACAATGTAGAACTTGCCCCATAGGGTAATAGACAAACTAAATATGATAAATTCTTTTTATAAATACCACTGATAAAAAAAAAAAAAAAAACTTTTACAATCAGAGACAATAAATAGCGAGGTATGGACATACCAGAAGAAACATGATAAAAAATACTCACAAGGGCCCACCTTTAGTGAACGCCTGTAATAATTTTGCCATATCGTTCTTATATTTCTTAGATTCTTCATATTATTTTTTCTTAGTTCAGACATCGTTTAGTTATCATTTTATTATATTACTAGCTGTTGCCAGCGACTTCGGCCGCGTTTCCATCGTTTATCGTAAAATAAGTAGCCTATGTCCTTCCTCACGGTTCAGTAGTTTTGATGTAACAGATTAATTAATCGTAGCGTGATGAAAAGTATACTATAACCTGCCCAGGAGTATGAAGAATAATTGTACCAAGTTTCATTAAAATTCGTCTAGTAGTTTTTGTTTCTATAACGAACATACAGACAGACAGACAAAAATTTTACTGATTGCATTTTTAGCATCAGTATCGATCACTAATCACCCCCTGATAGTTATTTTGGAAATATATTTCATGTACAGAATTGACCTCACTACAGATTTATTATAAGTATAGATTAAGATATGGGTTCTTTTGCTCGGTGTCTGTTGTCACCGTTCCCTGGGGGAATTCGGAAAATTCCTTTTTAATGCATAATATATATTTAGATTATGAAAAATATAGCGTTACTAGACTCCTTTATTCATACAAACGTCAAAAATAAATCTATTTCAGCCATTGAAATGTTTTGTCATTTTCTTATGCGGTAATTTTTCAATTTAAAAGATTGTGAATGAATACTCTAATAGTTAAAATGGGCTCGTGGAATGTTTTAGTTTTTATGAATAAGTTAGGCTGTTACAGTTAGTCCGTTTCTCCTTGTAAATATGTATTATTATATATGATAGAATGAACTACGTGGGACGCAACTAATGTATTGTGTATAAGATTAGTTGACGACCACGCAGTTGATCTGTCTTGTTACGACATTATAATATCATGGGCAAAACAGTATACTCTGTTATGTCCATAGTACTGCTCATGTCTATAGGCGACAGTTATCACTTTCCATCAGGTGGGCCGTCAGCTTGTTTGCCATTCTAAGTTGTATAAAAAAAATTATATGATTTAAACTATTAATTATATACTATACTATATAATATCTATATTTATATTATGTCTATATTATATAGTAAAATATTAAAAGAGGAGGGATTTAAATTTTTTATCAGCGTGTAACATAGGCTCTGTATTTTTTTCGAAAATTTTTACTATCCGTTTCAAGCCGCGCCGAATCCTTAGTTAATATTGTAAGTGAGGAAGATTTTAATTTTTATTTTGTATGTTTGTTTATAATAAATGAATAAATTCAAAAACTATCAAATTTTTTGAATACTTTTGAATAATTCGTTGACCTATAGAAAGATACATCATCAGCTAGTAACATAAGTTATTTTTAAAAGAATTAGAGATCACAATGAAAAATACATGAATGAACTAAAGTATTAAAAAATTTGCCCATTAAGTCTAGTCTAAAATATTAATTTATCTTCATATTTATCCATGCGAAGCCGGGCCGGATCCTTAATTAAGAGGAACACTTGATTTTTTATATGTCTATAATGGATAAATTCAAAAACAACTAAACCGATTTGAAAATTCTTTCGCCATATATAAAGTTACATTATCAGACTACATTTTTCTATCTATCAGTGCGAAACCGGGGCAAATCGCTAGTGTTAAATGATCTGATATCAAGTTATCAGATATGTTGATATCACGCTGTTCAATATTGTTACAATCTTGCTTTCGAGAAATTATCAACGGTGTGGAAAACTCACGGGCTAATTCCCATAACATCTTCAGTTACATACGACAGCCGCTTGTGTTTCATAAACAATGGAAACTTGCATGTATTTTAATACATGTCGAACTGCATGCACTTTGAGTGTCTCTCTTTTGAACTACGTATTACTAATAATATATCCTTACTAATAGTATAGATGTCAAACTGTGTTTGTTTGTTACCTCGTAGCGTCTTAACGGCTTGACAAATAATTATAAAATTTGGTACTCATGTACTATATACGATGGAGAAAAATATAGACTATATTTATTTAAATATCTAAAAACTATAAAAAACGGTAAATAATATTTTTTGATTTTTTTCTGTCTGTCTGTATGTCACGCAAAAACTTCTGTACGAAATTGGATTCGGTTTTCACTGTTGTATTCCTGAAAGTTTAGTTCAAAATCTGGTATATGTTTTATCTTGATTAGCTATCTAATAATGATTTATATTTTATTACTTTTCTTAGTTCTGAAATTCACGCATTCGAAATAACGGGTAAAAAGCTAAGTTTTAAATATCAAGTCCTGTGTCACCATTCTCCAGTCGTGGTTAAAAAATATATATATATATATATATAGCATCTCCAATTTTGTTTATACAGATTGTGGTGCATTTATTCAAATTTAAGTTTATATTAGTGTAACACTCTCAAGCGACCACTTTTTTTTTCGATTATAAATTTATGTAAATGAGAGTTGAATGTATTTTATTTTTAATCTGTTGCCACGTTATTTATTACAATGTTGGTAATTTTCCATTCGAATTTAAAATTAGAATTGCTAATTGTGTGTTTAGTTTGAGAATTGCAACATTCTTATAGCGTTAGGTTAATATAAGTTGCTTTTATCGTTTAAATGGCCACTACAAAAAGTACTATTCCGTTAGTTTATTATTATTACTTGCATTTTTAAATGATACATGATGATTACATGACTAATTCGGAACAGATTTTGATATTTCTTTTTTACAATCGATAAATAATCATCATCATCATATCAGCTTTTAATTGTCCACTGCTGAACATAAGCCTCCCCCTTGGGGGGTTTTGCCAGCATTTGCCATGCTTGGCAGGTGGATTGGCAACCGCAGTTAGGCTTTGGAAATGCTTTAAGAGGGACGCTACTACCCATCCCTCGTCCTCCCTTAATCGCCTTTTATAACGTTAACAGGAAAGAAGTGGTTGCCTATTCTATGACGGGACCACCCGGCGATAATCGATAAATGTCTTATATTAATTTTACAACAATTTATACCCTTGCCAATTAGATATAGATGAGTTGGAACGAGACACCGGACGTCCTTATCTCAGTCTATCTCATGAACTCGCTAGTGATAACGATTCCATGGATGGATTCCTTTGTCTATTGTCTAGAAGGGTTGTCATGTCCTTGACCTACACACGGTTTCATTTAGAATTCATTACCTAGTAACTTTGTCACGATTTGTCCAACATGAGAGACTTATTTGAATACACTAGAAATCAACAGATATTATGGAGGCGACCTTTAATTTCACAATTAATAAATAGCCGTGTGGTCCCAACATAGAATGGGTCACCCCTTCTTTTCGTGAGTGTCGTAAGAGACGATTGAGGGAACTTAATAGTTGAGGAATGGGCAGCAGCGTCCCTCTTAAAATATCATCAAATCTAACTGCAGTTTCCAACCTTCCTGCCATTCGTGGCAACACCTGGCAAACACCTCCCAAATCAACGCCTGATATGGAAAAAGTTTCTGCCACATCTTTACAAATTTTCACATTTTATATTTGTAAGGATTACAGTAGGATAAAACATACCATAATAAAGCATTAAATAAAACACTATACATGTGTTTAAATCATATAAATGATTTAAATCAGCATATTCATTAGAGTTAGGTAATACATAGTAATATGTATATATTTTTATACAATATATTGGCTTAATAAATGAATATATTAAATATCATTAATCTATTTTTTTTATACAACTTAGAATGGCAAACAGGCTGACGGCCCACCTGATGGAAAGTGGTAACCGTTGCCTATAGACATGAGCAGTACCGTGGACATAACAGAGTATACTGTTTCGGCCATGTTACCCCCAATGCGTTGCCATTCCTGAGGACTTAGGTGTTATTCCTCTGTACCCAGTAACTTCACGCCATATCCCACCCTTCAAACCGAAACACAGCCATGCAAACACAGCTGCTTCACGGTTGAAACACGAATGAGACAGAAGTACCGAAGCAATCGACTTTTGTACAAAGTCTCCCATATCTATGTATAATATTGAAATGTAGCACCCGATACAAATTAATATAAATACCCGACTGGTGTGGGCGATATCGTAGTGGTTGACGACATCTTTCCCGCCATTGATGTTTAGAGAAACCCGATATATAGATATCTGTATCGATATTACTCGGTAGATTAAAAAAAATGTAATGACTTTTCAAAAGTGCTTCAATGTAAGTTTATTTGAATAAATGATTTCTATTCTATTCTATTCTATTCTATTCTTCCCTAATATTCACATGAATCAATATAAATACGTCTGTAACTTTAACTTACCCACAACAATTTTATAATATCTTTCACTGCATAATTACATTTCTGTTTTTTCCAAAGGTCGACTAGGAGAGAATGCTATATATAGTATCAAGTCAGCCTTTTGTACCATTATTTTTTTTTAAATAAATAAATGTATTCTGTGATGGTTCCAGGTGAAATACCCCAGCGGCGTGGAGGTGAACGAAGGCAATGAACTGACCCCCACCCAGGTGAAGGATGTGCCGACCGTGTCCTGGGACGCCACTCCCAACCAGCTCTACACACTCGTCATGACCGGTTATTGTTAATCTTTTCATTACTTGTCTTGGCTTTTTTAGTAGTTTGCTTACCGCTTGCGCGCTTGACTCAAATTGGCAATTTTTACAACTTATTTTACAATTATATTTTGTTCCGCGAAAAAGTACCGACTTCAATCGTGACATAACTGGATATTTAGATCAAACAAACTGCTGATCCGATTTTAATGAAATTTCTATGGAATCAATCTGAAAGTATATCCTTCGGAAAAAAGTTTCTAAATCACATTACTTTACCAGAGGTAGACTTTCTAGCTGTTTTTCTACCGCGCTGTGTTTCTAGCTAGGTGTTTCTACCGCGGAAAAGTTGTGTTTGCATGGCTGTTTCGATGAAATATATTGCTAGCAATGGGACTGGTAGTTCGCATTACTAACAATCCTTCCCCCCCAGGCTTATTAAGGATTATCTTGTTTTCACTTCAGACCCGGACGCGCCGTCCCGCAAGGACCCCAAGTTCCGCGAATGGCACCATTGGCTGGTCGGCAACATCCCCGGAAACAATGTGGCGGCCGGCGAGACCCTCTCAGCGTACGTCGGCTCCGGCCCCCCGCCGGACACCGGCCTGCACCGATACGTCTACCTCGTCTACAAACAGCCCTCCAAGCTGAACTTCGACGAACCCCGTTTGCCCAACACGTGAGTAAATTTTTTAATATTGGTTGGTATATCAACAAATATTTTTTATTTTTATTTATTTATTTTTTTTTATTTTATTAATTCATAAACAAAAATTTGTATTTGAATGTCACAGTAGATACAATTATTTCATACAGTACATAAAATATAAATTAAATTAAGCATAAAAAAATATTACAGTCACTTAGTCATCTCTTAACATAAACAATATAGGTATATATTCAAATTTACTATAATTAGAATTCGTCAATTGAGTACAGACACTTTTCTAGCAGTAATGACTTCAATTTTATCCTAAAGATATTTAAATCATTCAGTGACTTTAATTCCTTTGACAGCTTATTAATAAACACCACCGATTGGTTTCGTGGACAATGTTGTATCTCCTAATACTGGCAACATTTTATACGCGTCTATAGGCTACAGTGACCATTTACTAATCGACGGACTGTATGCTTGTTTGCCACGTTCGTAATTAAAAAAAAAATAGGAAACAACAGAAGATAATTCTGAGTTTATTCCAAATACACGATGACATCAAAAAGTATTCGGATTTAATATTAATTCTACTAGTACTACTTTATATATCGCTCATGTCAGACGACGGTCACATATCTTCCATCAGGTGGGCCGTCAGCTTGATTGTCATTCTAAGTTGCATATAAAAAATATATAACGTCAGGTGGCCGATCGTAAAACTAAAAACCAAATCTTTTTGTAATATGGATAAAATCATATTACGCCGACCACAAATGATTGGGATAAGGGTAGGAAGATGATGATGATGATGATATATAAATACGAAAGGTTGTTGAGATGATAATATTTGTTAATATTTTCACGAAAATTCTACTTAATGGATGTGAATGTTTATTTGTTTTGTGCCAAATACAAATATAAATAGATTTTTATATATTTCTTTGGAAGATGCTTAGTTATTAAAAAAGTTAATGCAATTTTTTCAGTACGCAGTAAACTTATGTATAATAAAAGTTGCGTTCATAACAAAAAAGAAATGTGAATAGATAAAGTGACTATCACAAATTTCATATTAAGAAATGAAAAAAGCTACAATTATTCATAGTATTTTTGAAGACTACAGACTAGTCCCTACTAGAAGCACTCGTTCACATGTATGACGGATGAACAAGCCATCGTTGTGTTCAACCATATTATAAAACGACAATAATATAAATTGCTGTACAAATTTGTTATAAATTTTTATCCTAACCAGATCGGGTTTCATTTCAGATCGGGTGAAAATCGCGGCAAGTTCTCGATTGCGAAATTTGCTCAAAAATACAACCTTGGAGATCCCATAGCCGGCAACTTCTACCAGGCAAAATACGACGATTATGTGCCCATTTTGTATAAACAATTGGGTGCTTAATTTTTTAATTGTTCTTTTTTTTTATGTACATCACACACTGTGTTTTAATATACCTTTGCATAATGTTAAGAAGCAATTTTCGAACGCATTTAATAGATTCAACAGAAGTAGTTACCAAATGCATTTAGTAGATTTAATACAGAGAAATACTAACAATAGATAAAACCATTACCCTGATATGGAAGGATTCATCTGGTATGATCTTCTGATGTTGTATATCATATTATTCCCTTAGATATATAAGCAAAGTTGTATTCTGTCAAATAAAATTATATAAATTGCTTTATTTATTTTATTTACCTCATTTATTGCGCATTAGCTCCTCCGGAAATGATAAGCATTTTGTTAGTTTCGCGTATCATCATACACTGGTACTCGGCCAGCATATACCGATAACACCATAGCCTTAGTATAACCACAGATAATATAATACTAGTAGTATAAAGTATCTATAATTTAAGAGTAGCACAGACAACGTTACGGTTTCGTTTTCTTCTCATTATGAGTAGTTTTAAAGGTAAGGGTGGGTAATAGATGCCAATATCCATATATTTTAGTTATAATATCTATATATTGAGCAAAGAACGGATATATATATATATATATATATATATATATATATATATATATATATATATATATAACCAGAGGGAGACTTTGTACAAAAGTCGATTGCTTGGGTACCTCTGTCCCATTTGAGTTTCAACAGTGAAGCAGCTGTGTTTGCATGCACTTTCCATCAGGTGAACCGTCAGCTTGTTTGGCATTCTAAGTTGTATAAAAAAGAAATATTAAATATTATTTATGTAATATATAACCACGTACGAAGAACCTTATCTAAATGAATATAAATATAGGACTGGTATTGGTTTTTTTTTTCGAATTGATAGCTGACCTTTTTTTCGCCCTCAATGTTAAAAAAAAAAACTAATATATAGATATTGAAGCCATACGTATATTATATACATTCCTATTTATAGGTGCCCATAGTAGATACAGGTAAAAAGTTAGACCACTTATTTATTTGGACTAGATGTCGCTGCTCATTCTCAATTATTATTCTTCTTATGCTAATTACTCCCTTATTCATAAAAACGTCAAACGTCTATTTTATCTAACTCAAGTGTTTTGTCTCTTTCTGATTTGTATTAAATTACTAATTATAAAGTGACAATACTTCAATTGCTAAAATAATTTTGTAAGAGGTTTTAATTCTTATGAATAAGGGGTAAAAATATTTAATCTATACCAATTTTTTTTTTTATTTTCATAGCTCAAGTCTTAAGCGTTAAAAAAAAACAAACATTAGAACTAACAGTTTATTATTTTTCAAACAAATCTTAGAAACAAGATACAATTAACAACGAAATAATCATAGAACAAAATTTTTATTTCTATTTATAATATCGACTGTTTATCTAATTTATTCACTATTTCTATGACAAATTATATGACTGCTTTCGAGTTACATTTTATCTACATCATTTACAAATTAAATTTAGAACTTTATCATTCTTTTTTTGAAATTTATCTAAAAATATAACGGCTCCAGGCCGTACAATATTCCAATTACACAATTTTGTTACAAAACAGTCCAAATAAAATTAGGAATTATTAGATACAATTAAACACTAGTATAGTAATTATTAGTAACGAAATAATTTTAAATTTATAAAATAGGCCTATTTGTTTTTTTTTCTAATTTACTAAACAAGTACGCACAACGAAGTGAAATGTCGACTAGAAATCGTATAGATAAATTCATTCATTAATCGACTCAACAAATTTTGTTAACTATATCTAAATTTACAAACACGACATTAATTTATACAAAATATAAGTCACACAAAATATAAAAGTATCTTAAAATAATATCTGAATATTTTTCATTATTAGATTCTCTAGTGTGAGTTGTTTAAAGTTTTACTTTATTGTCTTATTTGCGTTCACGTCGATTTTGTATTGAATACCTAGCTGTACTTCAATCACATTATTATTTTAGAAACTCGGATTCTATTCAATGTATATTTAGTATCGTAATGTTTCTATATAACTCACACTAAGTACTTTGAGTTACTAGTGTGAGTTGTCCACAGATTTACTTTACTACCAGGTTTGTTACTTTCAGGTGTGTGTAGATGCTTTTAAGACAAACGGAACTTCCTTAACCGTCCGCTAGAGGGGCAGTTATGTAAACGCTAAAGCATTAGTGATTTAAATCTCTGTTAAACTCACACTAGGTACTCTGTGTATAATAAATATTTTCGTTACGTATCTCTTTCCATTTGAAACTGTCCGACAGCAATCTTCTTATAAGATTGGTGGCATTTCATTAAATACATTGTTCAATTCATTGGAAAATAAATCACAAGTCAGTGTACTTGGTTCCAATTTTAAAAGCGCGTCTGTCAGATCAGTATCAATATAATGCAAAGTATTAAAATATTTATAGGCAATTATTAATAACGTTTATATATATAATTATTACCTACATTTAAACATATATATTTACAACGTTGCCAACCGATGTTAAATCTATAAATCACAATATAACTGCTTTTTACATATTGTTATTTTGGATAAATTAGATGCTAACACCTGAAGAAGAATTGATAATGTTGATAAGTTTCAATTATAATCCTACACGAGAAATCAAAGAGGTACACTCTGTTTCTATAGTATTTAATAAAAATAATTGTAATAAAATGAATAATTGACCTGTGAGGTTACTCTTGAAATAAATTCCAATAGATCGATATTGGAATTGAGACGTTTCGCACTCTCGAATTGCAACACTAGCGACATAATTTCATACTATTCTAATAGATGTATATTAGTAGAACTTGCCAATACAAACTATTGCAAACCGATCCCAATTCTGAATTAATTTCTAATTGTTATTTCATGAGTGCAACACAAAATTATCATTGACAATAGATTGGATTGATATCGATATTAGATTGAAGAGTAGACCTGCTTATTCATTAATGTTATTGATAGGACGTTTCGATTTTTACTAATTACATGTAGATGTAATGTAATTTCAATAAAACTTGTTTAGTTTTTTATTAAATTCTATTGAAACAGAGTATACTTAATCTGTATTGCCATATCAGAAAAAAATCCTAAATTGGATCGAAATATATACCTATTTAAGTAATGTAATAAATATTTTATATCGAATTGTTTGTTGTTGGAAATTAGAATTTAGACTTGATCTATTGCCATTTTTAGGATTAAATGATTAATTAAGATTTTTAACAGTGTTTACCACCACCGGAAAATTGATTCGAAATTCAAATTACTCTGGCAATTGGCTCGTCGCTAATAAATATTCGAAATTAAATATTATAGGTGCGTAATAAGTTATTTAAAACTATCTGATATGATAATTATACATAAATATATAAACGACATTAAGCATTAAAAACAATATTACTACAAGTAATCAAATTATTAAAAATGCGACTGTAAAATAAAATTATAGTTGATAATATTAATACAAACATGATTATTAAATGAAATAATAATAAAACACAATTTACACTAGGTACGTAATTGAAACGTATTTAAATAATTATACTGAATTATTTACACAAAAATCCCGGCCTGTCCGCATCGAAATAATAAACTTATATTAGGAAAAAACAATTAATAATTAAATAAGTAATTAGTAATATAGAATAGAATTCACACATTGTTTAATTGGGAAGTGAGAAGACATTTTAAATTTCATTAAAATTGTCATACTTTTTATCATAGACAAATTAAGATTATCATAGTATTGGAATGATTTGACAAATGTTCAAAAACAATTTAGTAATTTTTAATAAATCTAATTTGAGAAAAAGATCTGAAACTAAGGTTACGTAATACGTAAATCTACTAAAAAAAAATTATTTTAATATTATTATTTAATATTTTGCTTTTGCAGTTTTCAAATACTGTTTTGCAATTAAAATGTAAATTTTCATTTTAATTTGATGGCAGCAATGTTATAGTAATGAACAATTTTTAACAATATATTAAAAATTGTGTAATTGTTTTTAAAAATTAATAGAATATTCCAACTTCGTAACACTTCGAATGAAAACCCTTAATGGAAAATATCTTGATTTGTATAGATATCACCTGTTCTTAAACAACTTGGACTGTAGCAAAGGCGCTAAACGTTACTTTCTTTGGTGGTTCCGCACTGCAAGTCCTTACAACTGATCGCTTTGCTCCATCTTGCCCATTAGTCTTTAATACGGGCTTCAAGTTCGCCACATCTCCATGCGATTGCGCCTTAAATCTACCGATTGTGTTACTCGGATTTCCAAGATCCCTCAGTTTATTCGTCAACCCCGTAATTCTGTTGGAAATATTAGAATAATTCGTCTTCTTGACCTCATTCTGTTTCTTGGGTTCACTCAACTTCTTAGGGATTTCTAAGTTTTGGAGAGAAGTAAATTTCCTGTGATCAGAATTAAGCAGGTTTCTCTTGACCTCTGGAACTGGCCGCGGTAGTCTCGGTGGTCTTTGGATAAAGTTGTTTGGCCTAAAACTTATGGGCGTAAGCTTCGGTTCACTGGATAATCGGTAATACTGTGGCACTGGCTCCAATTTTTGGGGTTTCCTGAGTGTAAACGCTACAGCCATTTTGGTTGGTCTCACGAGGCTGTCGAAGGCTGTTGTAGAAAATTGAGAGCGACTGCTCTTCCACTCCTCGCGGTCGGACTCGTAGCCAGCCATCACTGAAAAAGTAAAAACAACAATGTGAATGTAAATACCATAAAAATTTTACAATGATGAAAAAGATTTGTTACTGTTTAGCACTCTAAAGTGTGAATTTATAATTATAAAAATTTACGTCACTACATTTAGGTACACACACTTCACGTTTACACCTAGTAATAAGTTTGTATGGAAATATTTCCGATTATCCATTAGAGGCGCAGTTATATAATATAAAATTTATTAACATAAACGTGAATACAGTTGGAACATAAATCTTAGTACTAAATAAACTCGCACTATAGAGACTCTGTATAAAGCCATATTGTTTTAAAACTGCATAAATTACATTAAAACTGACTGTCTCGACAGACATCTTGTTCTAATTATAACTGTTTTCTTTGTTTAATAACCCTAATTGGATTTTGAAACGTTTTCTAAGAAAAATTAGCCAACTCAGTCCATCTTCCCTAGTAATGCATTTACCTATAGAGTGTTGCATTTTTATTTTTATACTTATATAGCTAAATTTTATAATTCAAGCTGACGGTTTATATTATCGCCTATAGACATAAATAGCACTGCGGATATCATAGAAGCTGTTCTCAATCTTACGTTAACTATTTCTGAATACCTTTAAAGAAAAATAAGAAATTTTCTTCTAAATTCTAATGTCTCCATCTCGATACGACATACTCATTAACTAATTTAATATACATTAGCTTACAAAATTATATAATTTGATAAATATAATCAGTCAATTATCATAAAATAGTAATTAAATTTAATTTGTCTGGCAATTTCGTTACGAGATGTAGGTACGTATATGTTACATCAGATATATTACTGTGTATCTGTTTATTCTGAACACGTGCGGCTTCCGTGCTTCGTTGCATGCAAATAGTTGTTTGAGTTGGAACAGCAATCATCGTTGATGACCTACTAGGTCAAATTGCAAGTTATTTTTGTTATGCGCGCAGGATAATGGAGAGATCCTTTTATGATATTGAAAGATTTTTTTTGTGATTTCGACGAGGGTAGTTGTACTTTTCTACAAAGTATATTTAGGAACAACAGGTATACTAATGTATATAAATCACACACACAAATCACAGAAAATATTTTATATTACTTTCTTTTTTAGGGGTGGGTAGTATAAAGTAAAATATATATATTTTAGTTACAATATCTATATACCTACTGGCCCAACAGCAAATATGTTAAATGACTTTTGTCCAATATTTAATGTCGGAAAGAACCCAACTAAAATTAATATAGATGCTTGAGCGGTATGGGTATATATCGGCATGGCATCGTCATACTAAATTGCGAGTAAAAGCTAGTAAAATCATAACAGTAATATGAGACCAACATGAATTTATATCCTAGAGATTACTCAAAAGTACTAGACGGAGCGGAGTAGTCGCTTAACATGGCTACATAATTTCTACCATCGAACAACTCCCCATCGACAGGGAGTTCACCTCCGTACCTTAGAGCCTAAATGGTCGCGTAGAGCGCAGTTTCAGAGATGTTTCATCCCACGAATGCTTAGGTTATGGAATGAGCTTCCTGTCAAGGTTTTTCCAAGAGGTTGCAGAATGAGGTTCTTAAAAAAATGGTAAAGAGGTTTCTTCAGAGTCGGTAACGCGCGCGTAATGCCTCTGGTATTGCAGGCGTTCATAGGCCACGGTAACTGCTTACCGTCAGACGGGCTATATGCTTGTTTGCTAGGTCAGTGGTATAAAAAACACACTAATTGTGAATCTTTGAAAGTGGATTCATTGTTCTATAATATTAATTCAGTAGAAAATAGATAGATGTTGATAAATCTTAGCATTGAAAGGTATCTATTATATTGGAAAAGATTTCACAAATGCCAAGTAATTTGAAAAGAAAGGTTTTTTTTGTACTTTAAAAGGGCAAGGCGATGTTTATCTTACATAATATAATACAACTGTAACTTTACAATGTCTGTACATGGGAGATATTTAAGTAACATCAATGTACTTAAGAGAATAAGAGCAATGACGGCTAATATATATATATATATATATATATATATATATATATATATATATATATATATATATATATATATATATATATATATATATATATATATATATATCTTTCTCATGGGTGTCGTAAGAGGCGACTAAGGCAGGGCGAGGGACGTCAGTAGCGTCTCACTTAAAACATCTCCAAAGTCTAACTGCGGTTACCAGTTCACCTCCCAAGCGTGACAGCTACTGGTAAAACCCCCCAAGAGGGAGACCTATGTTTAGCAATGGACAGTTAACATAAGTTTTAAAAATAAATAACGCTAAAATAATAGTTTTTAAATTTTATGACTGTCTATAGATTATTTGAGACTACTTCTAAATATGGCGTATTAATGTAAAGTATAAACAAGTTTTTAATTTAGACCTTCAGGGATATAACTGAAAAATCGCATTTAATATATTGCAGTAGTTTTTGCTTGATATCGGAACAAACATACAGACAGACGAAACTTCTTTTTGCTTCTATTGCTGCTTTAAGACCCCACCAATTTTTCTTTAATATCTGCCATCTAGAGATATCGTCCAGATTTTATTTTAATTAGTTTTATTTTACTTTTATATTTTTTAATTATAAGATAGTAAGATTATAATCTCAGTATGACAAACAACGATGGCATGCCTTAGAGTTTAATTCTAAGACCATATCTCTAACCTCCATTCGCTTTATGATTTTGTTCTTACATATTAATTGGATAGTACATTCTTTCGCAACTACGGCCTTTGAACTATGACTTATTATACCAGACCTTCATAAACATAATTAGGAACAATGTTATTATCATTAAATTATATGAACGCAATTGTTTTTAACATTTTAATGAAGATGTATAAGAGACGTCGATTTGTACTGTTATTTTAAACGGAAATTATAATGTACTTATATTTAATAAATTATATTACATGGAACTATCTAATGTTGCTAAAATATGCACTTGACTGCTTAATAATTTAACTAAAATCAAGAATAAATAGTTAGTATCATGCTGTGTAGTCCCGGCATGGAATAGGCCATCCCTTTCTTTCCCGTGGGTGTTGTAAGAGGCGACTAAGGGAGGGCGAGGGATGGGCAGTAGCGTTCCTCTGAAAACATCTCCAAAGGCTAACTGCAGTTGCCAATCCGTCTGCCAAGCGTGGCAACTACTGGCAAAACCCCCTAAGGGGAGGCTTGTGTTCAGCAGTGGACAGTTAAAGGCTGATGTGATTAAGTTTTTTTTTTATATACAACTTAGAATGGCAATCAAGCTTACGGTCCACCTGATGGAAAGTGGTAACCGTCGCCTATAGACATGAGCAATACCATGGACATAACAGAGTATACTGTTTCGCCCATGATACCCCACATGCGTTGCCATTCCTGAGGACTCAGGTGTTATTCCTCTGTACCCAGTAAATTCACGCTATATCCCACCCTTCAAACCGAAACACAGCCATGCAAACACAGCTGGTTCACGGTTGAAACTTGAATGAGACAGAGCTACCCAAGCAATCGACTTTTGTACAAAGTCTTCCTCCCTCCCTCCCTCCCTCTCCCTCTACCATCGATCATCATCATTTCATCTGTTAACTGTCTATTGCTGAACATAAGTCTTCACCATAGGGAGTTTTGTCAGTAGTTGTCTCACTTGGCAGTCGGATTGGCAACAGCAGTTAGGCTTTTAGATATATTTTAAGGACGCTGCAGCCCACCTTTTCACTATTTAGTTCTCTTAGTCGTCTCTTACGACACCCATAGAAAAGAATGGGGTGGCCTATTCTATGCCGACATCGCATGTGTACTATTGACAAAGGATATTATTATTTATATATTTATGTACATATATGTATATGTGTTTATGTACAATTAAGTATAATATAATTAGCTATGTATAATCTTAAGTCTGTCTATTTCTTTTTGTTTGTAAATTGTCACAATATTGTACATCGCTCTACCCACTGACATTGATGCATCTTTCCACTTTGGGTGTTATTGGAAGAGAACTCTTTTGGAGTTAAGCTCGTCTTTGTACATTTTCTTAATTCTGTCATATTTCTATAGCGTGTACATAAAGTATTTATTTTTCTATTAGATTGTAGCGAATTGAAACAATATAAATTGCATTTTTATAATTAACTGTAAATTTGAATCCCAAATAATTAATATCTACTGAACGGATTCAAAATACATTTGATACACGTGTAGGTTATATCCCAACTCGCTTATATCCCAAGTACATAGTATATTTTATACACTGATTCACGAGGCAAAGCCACGAAATATACCTAGTTATCGAGTAACAGCAATGTAACTCAACCATGAAGGGCAGGTTCGATTCCCGCGCAGTTCACTTACAGCCTGTCGCTTCCGTAATACACTACCAGCAAGTGAAGCTTGACAATGTGTGCCAATGGGTTTGTTGAATAGAAAATGTTATAATCCAATTACAATATATATACATACAAAATTATGACTCATTCATCGTCGCCAAATCGAAATTCAAAATTGAATGAAGAAATAAAACAAATTTCCAGGAAAGATTATGGTTAAGGGGGCAACCACTCCAGAATTGTTCGATGCTTAACTCAGGATATGAGCGAAGCTTTGCGAAGACGTGTCTAGGAATAAATATACACATATTTACACCTAGATATGTCTTTAGTCCTAGATAAGTATTTATAAAGGGGACAGGCCCCCCTGGATAATGTACACCCACATTATAAAGTAATATTTCACATTCGCGCTCGTGTCACAGCCACTCATGAATAAAGATCACGAATTGATTCCGAAACTAATTGAGCTTTCTTGATCTAATTACATGTAAGTTGAACCGGTAGTTTTTACATTAAAATATAATATGCTTACGAATCTCTTAACAATAAAAATACAATAGTAATAATTCTCTAATATCTCGACCTGGCTCACGAGGTGACCGAAATGTGGGGGGTGACATCCACCGAAATCATTCCAATCGTTATGT